CGGCTGTGCACTGCCACCGTGCCGCGGGTTTTCACATCGTCCGCTGGCATGGGCGGCGGCCGGGAGGACGGCGGCGGGGACGGCGGCAGAGGCGGAGAGCTCGGTGGGGCCAGCTGGCCAGGAGAGTGAGGTGACGGCGGCGGCGGCGAGGGCGAGGCGGACGGAGGCGGCGGCGACGGCGACGCCGACGGCGGCGGTGGCGACGGTGACGCCGACGGCGGCGGTGGCGTGGGCGGCGGTGGAGATGGTGGCGGCGGAGATGGCGGGCTCGGTGGGGCCAACGGAGAGAGCCTTGTGCAGAGGTTCTTCTCCTCAAACTCGGCAATGATGTCTTGGATGGTGCTACCAAATATGCTGTTACCCGGCGTTGCAATGGCCTCCAGCGTGTCGTTGCTCACCCCTCCGAAGCCAACTGCGAAAAGGACCAGGTCTGGGTCTTGCTCCTTGATCAGCTGCGCCTGCCGTATCGCCTCGGGCTTTTGATAAGGTCCGATGTCGTTTCCGCAAAGACTCCCGGCCTTGTAATCGCCGAGCGGGCTGTTGTTAAAGTCCCAGTTCTCGTAACAGGAGTCGTCGTTTGCGACACAACCTGGGTTGCGGCTGCAGGTCTGCTCTCCATCGGTCAGGAGTAGCATGACCTTCGTGACACCTGAGCGGCCAGTAGCGAGCAGCTGCTCTCCCATGAGGAGCCCGTTGGAGATGAAGGTCCATCCATACGGGGGACCGCCGTTTTTGTAAACCTCAATGGCAGACGTGAGGTCGCCAGTGTTGAAGGTGAGGTCGCTGAGCTTGGTCGTGTCGGAGGCAAACTGTACCAGCCCCACGTTAGCGACTGTCTCGGCGAGATCCAAGGAGTCCACAACTTTCTGCGCAAACGTCGCCACATCACCCCGGCTGTTTGTTATGCTGCCGCTGGCATCAAGAATGATCACCAAGTCGCCGACCAAGCTGCACGGGAGTGGCGGCGGGAGCGGCGAGGGCGGCGGCGGGGACGGCGGCAGCAGCGGCGGCAGCGACGGTGACGGATGCGATGGCGGGCTCGGCGGGGCCAACGGAGAGAGCCTTGTGCAGAGGTTCTTCTCCTCAAACTCGGCAATGATGTCTTGGATGGTGCTGCCAAAGATGCCGTCCCCAGGCGTTGCAATGGCCTCCAGCGTGTCGTTGCTCACCCCTCCGAAGCCAACTGCGAAAAGGACCAGGTCTGGGTCTTGCTCCTTGATCAGCTGCGCCTGCCGTATCGCCTCGGGCTTTTGATAAGGTCCGATGTCGTTTCCGCAAAGACTCCCGGCCTTGTAATCGCCGAGCGGGCTGTTGTTAAAGTCCCAGTTCTCGTAACAGGAGTCGTCGTTTGCGACACAACCTGGGTTGCGGCTGCAGGTCTGCTCTCCATCGGTCAGGAGTAGCATGACCTTCGTGACACCTGAGCGGCCAGTAGCGAGCAGCTGCTCTCCCATGAGGAGCCCGTTGGAGATGAAGGTCCATCCATACGGGGGACCGCCGTTTTTGTAAACCTCAATGGCAGACGTGAGGTCGCCAGTGTTGAAGGTGAGGTCGCTGAGCTTGGTCGTGTCGGAGGCAAACTGTACCAGCCCCACGTTAGCGACTGTCTCGGCGAGATCCAAGGAGTCCACAACGTCCTGTGCAAACGCCGCCACATCGTCCCGGCTGTTTGTTATGCTGCCGCTGGCATCAAGAATGATCACCAAGTCGCCGACCAAGCTGCACGGGAGTGGCGGCGACGGCTGCTGCGGTGACGGCGGTGGCGGCGAGGGTGGCGGAGGCGAGGGCGAGGCCGACGGGGGAGGCGGCGAGGGCGAAGTGGAGGGCGGCGGAGGCAACATCGGCGGTGCCGGCGGCGGAGGCGAAGGAAGAAAGGGATCATGCGCCGTCTCGCAGTTGAAGCCGTCATTGGTCGTGGTTTCGTAGGCTGCATTGATGCGCGTGAGATCGACGGTGGTACCGGCACCGAGTCCGCAGGCATGCGTGGTCCAGTTGCAGGCCCCGATCGCGACATCGAGCTGTGCGACGTCAACCTTCAGCACGCCCACGCCGCTGTTCGCCGCAAAGTAGAGCTGCACGCCGATCTCGTTGACGTACTTAAAGCCGGCGCCGAAAGTGACGAACGGTCCGGGACCCGGGCACCCATTGCAGTCATCCCATACAAGACGAGTACGAATGAGGGCGTAGCCGTCGATCTCCTCTCCAGCAACTCTCATGACGAACATGGAGGCGTCCCTCTCGCCGAGCCAAACGAGGTACGTCCGGCCTTCAAGCTCGTACGTGATGAGATCGGCATAGTTTTGCTTCACACCCTCTGCGGCATTGTTTTGCTTGAACGGCTTCCAGTCAATCACAATGTCGTTGCTGTCAAACACGTAGAGTAGACTGTATTTGAGATAGTTCTCCGAGATCCCTGTATCGTTCCAACCGAGCTGATGTATGAGATCACCCCTCGTGAGCCCGAGCGTCTCCAAGTCAGTTGCAAAGTCTGGCGCCCCAAAGTCCGCAATTAATTCCGGATAGCCTTCATAGAGCCACTTTCCCGGGCAAACGTCGTCGGTGTTGACGGTCAGACTGCTCACGCTCCGGACTGCGAACAGGTCGTGCCCTCCCGAGCTCACAAAGTAGGTGTCGTTGTGGATAGCACCAGCGTAGAGATAGCCACCATTGTAGTCATCCTTTTTACTGCTTCGCTGTACCCTGCAGAGGCACTGCACCGGCTGCTCCGCCTGGTCGGCGGACAGGCGGCACAGGTTGTAGTCATCGCTCGGCATGCTTGAATCACGGAAGAGGCCATAGGCGATCGAGTCCTTCTGGTTGTAGGCCATCGCGTTCATGGTCGGCGAGGGAGTCGGTGCGTTGGGGTTGTACCTGGTGTCACTGAACCTGGAGTCAAAGGTGTAGACGAGGTTGTAATCGCCCGTCTTCAGATCCAACTCCACGAGTTCGTAGTCTTGCGTAGTCTCGTTCAACACTGTCTGCATTGGATAGGAGCGGTTGGCACAGTCGAACTTGCCAACGTCGGCGGCCGCAGCAGCGGCAGCGGAAGCCAGCAGGACGGCGTAAACCGCACAGCGTGACGCGGACATAGCACGGGTTAAGACTCTGAGAGCGAGGGCAAGCGTCGGGCGTCAGTCGCAGACGATTGGCGAGGACGCACGAGAGAGAGAGAGGAGGCAGTCTTGTCGTAGGGCATCTCATCGTGGTAGGCAGAGGATGGTGGGGAGTCGTTGTATGGTACACGGAGGATCGCGAACGAACCGGGGAGGCCGACTAAGGCAGTTTTTGGTGAGAAGCTGTCACGCAAGGTCGAAGGTGAGAAGCTGTCGTCTCTTGCGGGTTTTCTCGAGGTCTCGAGGTGGATATCCTTTGGCCGTTGGGTGGCGAGGATTCATACATACATACATAGGATTGGTGTCAGCTTTCTCGACGCACCGTCCTCGACCCCGCCGAAAAGCTGGCTGGTGGTCGCGCGCGGCGGGTTGCGGGCATGAAATCCGAGACCCCTCCCCACCACCCCGATCCCCCCACCCCCTTGCTCCCCTCCCCCCCTCGGGAGGGCCGAACTGAGGCGCCCGAGGGGACCCCGCAATTCCCTTCCCCCCTCGGAGGGCCGGACTGAGGCGTCGAGGGCCCCACTCTTTCCTTCGCATAGCGGCCACTCTTCGGATCGCTGGTCGAGCGACCCGGGGGATGCCCCGCGCGCCTGACCCAGGCGCGGAAACGAATCTGCGAGGCGTGGCCGCTCATGCGGCCCGATGGGGAGGAGGGGAAGACGTAGGGCGTGCTTGCGCGCCTTTCCGAGGCCCCTCCAACCCACCCGCGCTAGGTCTCGGGTTTGACGCATGGGGTCACTCCCGCGAAACCCGTGAACTAGCCGGGGCAGTCGGAGAAGTGGCAACTCCGTGCACTGACGGTCGGCCGTCAGAAAACACGCCTCCGTGGCTCGGGTTACACCAATCCTCGCTACCCAACGCGGCCAAAGGATATCCACCTCGAGAACCTCGAGAGCGGGCAAGAGAGCCCTAGCCCTTGGGGGTGCGCGGTCGCAGGGCCATAACACGGGTCTCCGAGGGTTGGCTCCGTGTACCGGGTTTCCCCTTAACTGCAGAACGCACCCTCTACTCGACCAATGTTGCGAATCGCCCGAAGAAGTTGCGATGACACGCGTCCGCAGGCAGACGACACGTCCCGCTGCCACTCCGCGGCGCTCGAGCGATCCCGCACACCGCCGTAACTATGGGCAGCGCAGCGGGCCGCAGGGCGTTCGTTATCGCGCTGCTCTGCGGCCTCGTGGCCCCCGCGCTCAGCCTCGGGCGTAAGCACATTGGCGGCGACTCGGCAAAGGCGCTCGCGCATGCAAACGCACGCACACATCACCCAATCACTGACTGAGCGCTTGCACATGGGAGTCATACCCGACTCGTCTGGCTGCGGGGACAAGTCACTGCCGCCTGCCTCACACGAGCGTGTGGGCCTTCGCAGGAGGGTGGCCGGCAGATGCAGATGACGGGCGGGGCGGCGAGTGGCGGGGGCGGCAAGGGCGGCGGCAAGGGCGGCGGCGGCGGCCCCGCGACGCTGTGCGGCGGCACTGTTGCCTGCTTCGACGCCGACGCCGACCACGTCTTGCTCTACACGCTCGGCAAGACGGCCTCCACGTCGCTCGAGTTTGCGCTCGGGCCGTGGGTCGGGATGCGGAGGCTCCCGTGGATCACGACGCAGGCCACTGCCTTCCCGCGCGGCGCCAAGATCCACCGGCCGCAGGTCGCCAAGGCCTTCGTGAGCCAGCTGCCGCCGACGGGAAAGGTGTGGCTCTTTGTCACAGTACGCAACCCATTTGACCGCGCCATCTCGCAATTCTTCGAGGGCTACGCCAAGTTCATGAACGTGACCAACTCGTCCGGGCCTGCCAAGCAGCACGACCACCTCTCCCGCTTCTCCCGCCTGGCACCCTTCCTCGCCGAAGGTATCGTCGACACGATCCCCAGCGTCATCGGCGCCAACGTCACCATCCCCCCGCTCTCACCCGTGACCAAGGATGCGTGGCTCGTGCACGGCCGTGTCCGAGTGCTGATCCTGCGGAGCGAGGACGCAAAGCTGTGGCCTAGCATCGTGTATCGCCGCACAGGCCGTTCGCTCGGCGAACTCGGCAAGTACAATATCGGGATGAACAAGTGGTACGCGACGCTCTACCACAACTTCAAGGGGCGCTACACCTTCAAGACGAGGGTGGTCGCGCAGGCACCCCTCGAGCACGGACCTGCGAGGTGATGCGAGCGGTGCCACTTACGCTGCCACCGTGAGCGTAGGTTCTCTCGAGCACGGAGCTCACGCGGCTCTACTCGGAGGAAGAGCGGAGCTGCATGGCTCTGCGCGCGCTGATGCCGCGCGCTGGCGCCGGTCTCGTGTCGTGCCATGACGAGAGCCCCGAGTGCGACGAGACTGGGGTCCCGTCGCGAGGGTGCGAGACAGTGCTATCTTCACATCAAATACCGTGGATAGGTACGAGGAGTATTGGTTCCCGTCGAGGGGGAGCCGCAGCCCGCAGAGCCGTGGCTCCACCCCTCCGAGTGGCTCGCTCGCTCCCCCGAGTCGGCGCTTCGCCCCCTCCTTGGGAGCGATGGGCGTGAGCAGCCTTTTCACAGCGCGTGTCGCGAGTAGGCTCGTGCCCGTGCGGGACCGCAAGGTGTGACTTGGTTGGCACCGCACTCGCGAGGAAGATAGGGGGTCAAGGCGTTCGCTATTTCGGTGGGCGTCGTCGACGACGACTTTCGAGAGCAACGGCCAACGCTTTGCGCAGCCGTCCGGTCTCCGGAGGCCCGCGAGCCAGAGACGCGGCGCCGTGCCGAGGCCGCGATGCGCGAACGGAGATTTTTTGCGGCTCGCTCAGCAGCGCGCTTGGGGCGCGCCCTGGGACCGCTGTTGGCTGAGACAGACTGAGTTGCAACCCGCGATTACACGTGCGGGGGGGGGGGGGGCATGTCGCCATGTGCGTCAACCAATTTACGCTTAGGGTACCCCCCCTGCACATCTAAAGCCATCCCTGCTGCTAGGGGGGGGGGGTCTGACCCCCCCAGCAGCAGAGCGCTGCTGCTGGGGGGGGGGGGTCCGGACTAGGGTTGCCTAACGTTAAGAGCTGAACAGTGTTGCTAGTGTTAACAGTAACAACAGAACAACAGTGGGGGCCCCCAACAACAGTAGCTAACGTTAGGCCGACTGAACAACAGTAAGGAAGGCCTGGCAGTGACCCACGACGATCTCTAGTGTCCACACAGTGCGGGTAATACCCGAAAATACCCGGAAAATCCCAGGTATTTTCGGGTTTTACCCGGGTTTTTTGCCATTTTCTGCTTTTGCTGGCCGCTGAACAACAGTAACAAACAGTAACAAACAGTAACAGCATGGGCTGGGGTGAACACTTGAACAACGTTGAGGATTTCAGCCAACCAGGGTAGGCTCCGCCTCACTGCATCTCGGACTGGATTCCACGAATTGATTTTCCTAGCGTCGTCAAAGTGAGCTGAAAGCTCGCTCGAAGAGCCGATGTCACCCGCCGACCGCCTCCCATCTCGCCGCTGCTCTGGCGGGGCGGCGGCGGGGCCTGGCGACGGCGCGCGGCGCATGTGCCGTGGCAACCCACCGGGCCGGCCGGCCGCGAAGGCGCCGACCGGCGATCGCCACCGCGCCCCGCCTCGGAACGCCGTTTCCGCTTGGCGTCCGAGGCGCTCGGCGTTCCCGCTGGAGCGCGAGATCGGACCGGGTCTGACGCTCCTTTTCTCGCCGTAGGCACGGCTGGCCGGCTGGACCAGCGGAAAAACAAAAATCGAATACGTCAATTCTCTCCGGCCAGCCTCGGGCTAATTAAAGCCGCAAAAAATCGGAAGGTTCCGCCGCCCCGGATTCCACCTCCCTGGCCCTCCACGCCCCGCGCGCGCGACCGTATCACCGCCGCAGTCGGCCTCCCCGCCCCGCGCGCTGTAGGAGCGGCGCCCACCCACCGGAGACGCCTTCCCCTAGACCGCCCGACCACCCCACCCCCTTCGGCAGGTGCCTCGCACGTATTTCGAGCGCGAGAGGCCTCCTTTGAGGTGGCGGCCGGCCGCCGCTTCTCGCGGTGAGGCGGCATGAGGCCGTCCCCCCTTCGCGTTCGAAGGCGGGCCGGCCACGGCACCGGCTGTCGCGGCTCGAGGGCGGCAGGCGAGCCGCCCCCCCCTCCTCCCTCCCTCCGCCCCTTGCTCCCTTCCCCGCAGCGCTGCCCACGGCACCATCTCCTGGTGCCCCGCTGCCGCCCCACCCGCCGCGCCGCCCGCCGCCGATGGCCCGGCCGCCACCGCCACCGTCGGCGGCCGCCTCCCGCCCACCCGCACCGCCGCCCCGGCCACTGCCATCCGCGCCGCCGCCTCGCCCAACGCCGCCGCCGGCCCACCCTCCCGCCCGTCGCCGCTGCCGCCGCGCCGCCGCTGCCGCCCTCCGGGCCGCCTCCGGCCCCGCCACCTGCCTCGCCGCCGCCCACGCGACTGGCCTCGCCGCCGCCACCGCCACCGCCCTCCCCACCGTCCTCCCCTCCGCTCTCACCGCCGCCGACGCGCCGCCACGCCGCCTCGGCCTCCGCCCTCGCCGAGCCGTCGCCACCGCCCTTCTCGCCGCCTCTGCCGCCCGTGCCGCCTTGGCTGCCGCCTATTCCGTGGCCCTCGCCACCGCCGCCGCCGTCGCCGCCGCCGCCGCCACCGCTACCGCCGCCTCCCGCCCCGCCACCCCCTCCGACACCGTCACCCCCCCTCCCTCCCACCATCCCGGCCGGCCTCCTCCGTTCTAGCCCCAACTACCACACACCACCACCGACCTCCCCGCGCCCCCACACGCCGGCCCCGCGCACCCACGCCACTACCATCGCCCACGTCGCCCTCCCGGCCCCCCACCCCGCGCCCCAGGCTCTTCATAGCTCCGCTCGGAGCGTCCTGGCGCCGCCTCCCCAACCGCTGCGGCCCACGCGGCCGCCGGGCGGCGCGACGGCGGCTACCGGCCGGCATAGCCCTTCCAGCGCCGGCCGGGGGCTGCGGCGGCGCGCGGCGCGCGGCGGGCAAGCTGCCTGCTGGCGGGCGGCGCTTCTAGTCGTGATTTTAGTGCCGCGTAGGTCGCCCTTCGGCCACTTCTCGGGCGTGCGGCCGCAGCGCGGCGAGAAGGCGGCACGCTCGGCCCGCTGGCGGAGGTGAAGCCCCCCAGAGCGGGAGCTGGCGGGCCGGGGGCGTCGGGCGGGTGCGCGGCGGCACCCGTGCCACCGGGACGGGCCGTGGTGGCCCGTATGGCGGCCGTGAAGGGCCGTTTGGTGCGCCCCGGCGGCCTCCTGCACGGCGGCCGCCGGGGCCGGTTTGGACTGTGTTGGGGGGGGTGGAGTGGTCCGGTGGCCGGTGTGATGGTCGTTTATCACCCTCCTATCACCCACTTACCGCCCCCGGCCGTGGGGGCCTCTCCAGACGCCGCCATTTATGATTTCAAAGGGTCCTGCCGACGCTCATCACAGTGCGGCGGAGGGGCCGGAGCCGGCGCCGCGGAGGACGAGGATGGCCGTGGCGGACCGGGACGAGCTCTGGGAGGTTCAGTGTGAGTGAGTATATTGTAGAGACCACCCATGTGCACAATATCTTGACTGAGAGCTAATTCTGGGGAGGCGATGCCGGGGCCGTACAGCAGCTTGATGGTGCTGCGCCGGCGTGCGTCCCGCCGGCCGCCGGGGCCGGTTTGGACTGTGTTTGGGGGGGTGGAGGGGTCCGGTGGCCGGTGTGATGGTCGTTTATGGCCCTCCTATCACCCACTTACCACCCCCGGCCGTGTGGGCCTCACCGGACGCCGCCATTCATGATTTCAAAGGGTCCTGCCGTCGCTCAGTCCGAATCACAGTGGGGCGGAGCCTACCCTGACAATAGCGCAACTGTTAGGCCCCAAATTAACGTTAGGCAACCCTATTTACGCTGCCGCGGTGCGCGGAGAGGGTGAAATGGCAAATCAGAAACAGAATTCGGCTTTAACTACTTTTTCTTGGAGTCATGAATCTTAGTTAATCGTATGACTAACCTGCTGCGACCCTCGCCAGCGCCATCTTGAGCGGGTGCTTCCCGTCGGGCGACGGGTAGTCTTGCTCGGGTGGCAGCACGGTGACGTCTTCAAGCGGCCGGCCCGCCTTCTTGGCGCAACGCTCCAGGCTGTCCACCCACTCGTCCAGCTCGACCGACGCGACATGGTTCACGGCGAGGACCTGGCCGCTCAGCAGGGCGCGTGTGGGGAGAGGGCCAATCCTGTTCGCAGCGTGGCTCCTGTTCGCGGTCTCTCTTCCCTGCGCTGGGACAGCCGTGCACCGTGTGAAGCGCGATCAGCGTCAATGTGAGCAGCGTTCCTTCAACGCTCGAACCGCCGCCTGACTGCGCTCTAAGATTGTGCGGCGCCTGACTGCGCTCTAAGATTGTGCGGCGCCTGACTGCGCTCTAAGACTGTGCGACGACTGCGCGCACCGTTCCGCCCGGCCGCGTCGCGAGCACACACGGCTTGAAGAGCGACTGGTAGTCCCTCACCAAGTCGACGGCGCCTGCAGGAAGTCTCCTAGAAAGCTGCTAGAAGGCTCCTCTGGAGGGCTCTTTAGCCCTCCGAATCGACGGCACCTGCAGCAGTCTTGGTCCACGTCGGCGGGTCGAGCACCTTCTCACAAGAGAGCTCCTAGAAGGCTCCCAGAAGGCCCCCAGAAGGCTGGTCCGCGCGGGCGGAGGTGGCACCACGACGTCGAACGCGCGCTGCCGCAGCCGCGGGGCGAGGCTGCTCGCGCCGCCTCCGCCTCTCCCGCTGGCCCTGCGATCCCCGCCCCGCCCGCCGCCGCGCCCTCGCCTAGGGTTGTGTAGACAAGGTCAGGGTGTGAGCACTGCATCGAGTGCCAGCTGGAGTCACGGGTCTGTTTCCAGCATCTAGGAGCCGTCGCCCGCCGCGCGAGCGCCGGTCTGTGTTGGTCGGCAGACCGGCCAGCTGGCGCAGCGCGGGAAGGGCATCGCCGCACACGCACTCGAACGCGCCGGCGGGCAAGCCTAGAGGCTCCCGTGGAGGCTGCGAGAGACCCCTTTTTTTGCACTCGAACGCGCCAACAGGCAGGCCATTCAGCCGCGCGTTCTCTCGCCCGACGTCGAGCGCCGACTGCGAAAAGTCGAGGTTCGTCACCTGCAGGAAGACTCCGAGACGCTTCCTGGAAGGTTCGTGAGGTAGACAGGATCAGTCGAGGGTCGTCACGTGTCGCGCTCCCCCCGCGAGCGCCGCCACGCCGGCACCGCACCTGTCAATGATCGATCAAGATTCATCGTGAAGAATCAATGGCATCGTCACGCCGGTGCCCGCACGTGAAGGCGAAAGCGTTGAGCACGTCCCTCCCCTCGCTGTTTGCAGCGAGCCAGCGGCGCGCCGCGCGAAAGTCGAGGTAGAGGTTCGGGTCGCGGCCGGGCGGAGGCACCTGCAGGGAGGCTCCGAGAAGGCTCCTAGAAGGGTCTCGCAGAGGCCTGGAGATGCGGCCAGGCGGACGCACGTCGATGCGGTACTTGAGGCCGATCTCGGAACCCACGTGCTCCGCAGCCAGCAGCGGCGCGCCCGGCGGCACGAGCACACCCTCGCGCGACCGCTGCCGCTTCTGCCGCGCATTCCAGTGCACGGCTCGCAGCGGCACGCCGGTCTCGTCCTCGACGAGGTCGCGCAGCCGCGGCAGCAGCTCCTGCGGGTCCATGTCTGGCGGATCGCGAAAGGTTTGCCAAAGGAGCAGGTCGCCGAAGCGCTCGAGGGTGCAGCCAGGCTCGCCCTCGGTGGCGCCGTGGAAGAGACGGTAGCAGTCGGTGCCCTCGGCGTGGAGCGAAGGGAGGAGCGTCTGCGAGCGGCTGGCCAGCGCGGCTCGGACAGAGTCGAGGAGCATTGGAGCGTGGAGTGCGCTGAGCCACAGCCTTGTTGGTGGTGGGCGGCGAGCCACGACGATCGCAGCGGGACAGCAGGTGTGGGCCAGGCCGCCGGCGAGAGCGCGACTTCAAGAAAAAGAATTTTAGGGTCTACAAGTAAAGAAAACAAAATGCCAGGAGAAAAAAATCCGTCGTGCAAAAGTGAGAAAATCCGGTTGGCGGCTACCGTCCGTCGCGCGCCGCGCGCCGCCGCGCGTCGTCGGCCTCGGGTGGTGGCCACCTCGCCCTGTTCCACCTTAGGGTGCAGTTGAGAGAGAGAGAGATATCTCTCTTTCTTCTTGCAGTTGTCGATGGAGAAGATGCTAACTTGTTCACGTTGTAGGTTACCTGTTAGTTTACGTACTGCTCTACCACGGGATATCATTTAATTCTTTTCGCCTGTGTTAGTGCCAGTGCGAGCCAGTCCCGTGCCCAGTGTAAAGAAAGAAAGAAAACAGACAGCCCAAGGGAGGGATGGGAGGACGGCACGCCGCCACCACACAGGGATTTTAAGGAGAGGAGTGTGGTGCGCTAGCCGTCGCCCACCCTAGGGGGTCTGCCTCTTCCTATCTCTTTTCGCAGTCTCTCGCCGATTCTCGCTGCAACCTTCATGCCACCTCGCGGCCGTCCCACTCTCGTCGTTCTCTCCCTTGTCACTTCCTCCTCTGTCGCGTCATTCTCTTCTGCCTCGTCCTGCGCCGCCGCCGCCTGCCGTTCCCTTGTTCTCTCGGCTTCTTTCGCCTTTCGGCGCAGCTCCGCCCTCCTTGCTGCATATCCTGGCCCCTCGAGTCTATCGAGCTCCCCTCGCGCAAGGACCACGTTTCTGACTCCCACTCCGATCATTTGCCTACAGGTCATGTTGTTGCTCAGGTCCACTCTCTCTTCGAACACTCGTGCCTCTACGGATGATGCCGGCGCTGGGGTCCCCTTCGGATGCATCGTGACATCTGACAACTGAATTTCCACTGGTTCGTCCTCCTCGGAGTCATCTTCTCCGTCCTCCTTCCGTTCGGCTCTTCGCTCGGTACGTTCGGTGTGGCTCACCCTCCATGCCGTGAACAGGCGCTTTATCCACCCTATATTCTGGACCGGAGCCCGACCGCCGAAATTCGGACAATGCTCTTTTCCCACGCCCGCCACATGACGCCCACTGCAGCCGCGTCGGTCGGCGCGCGCCGACGCCGACCATCACCGCCGACCGACGGCTCGCACGGCCGTGCGGTGAGCAAAAATTTGGGTCGCTGCGCGCCTGCCGGATGCTCTGCGACGTCTGGACGCTCGCCAGAAACGCCAGGAAGCTTGCCTTCCACCCCTGGGCCCGAGGGCGAACGGCAGTGGTCGGCAGCCTCTGCGACGCTCCGATCGGCTCCTCGACCTCATCGCCTGCGACGAGCCAGCATGGCTCGTCGCTCGACGGCAGCCTGCTCAGTATGCTCTTGGCATTCTGTACAGCCTCGCCAGGCTCTCTGAGACGGCCTGCAGGGCCGGCGCGGACCGCCTCGGGCGCGATGGCCCTCCTCAGTACCTACCTCTTTGATGCCTGTCGGCTCTCCAATCTCGTCGCCGGCGGCAGGCCCGCATGGCGAGCTGCTCGATGGCAGCCTGCTCAGTACGCCTTGGACAGTGACTTCTGCCTCGCTGCTCTTACTGCAGCCGCCTCCGGGGCCGGCGTCGGCCGCCTCGCTTCGCCAGTGCTGTCTACGCCTGCGACACGCGTGTCGGCTCGCCGCCCGCGTCGCCCGCGGCGGGCCCGCATGGCTCGCCGCTCGTCGGGAGTGTTCCCAGCAGGCTGTGCAGGGCAGTCTGCCTCACTCAGGGCGCCGCCACCGCTGCGCGGGGCCGACACCGGCGCTGCTGCCGTGAACACTGCCGCCGTGTACGTCACCATCGCCTCGCTTCGTCGCCGATCTCGCCGACGCCGCTCGCCGCTCGCCGCCGCCCTGCCCTGCCCTGCCCTGCCCTCGCACAAACAAACAAACACACACCCACACCCACACACACATACACACAGACACACATACACACACACAACACACCCTGCCCCAACCTCGAGCGCCCCGCGCCTCCCGTCTCACGCCCGGCGCCTCACGCCGCGCGTCCCACGCACGCCCCGCGCACCGCGCCCCCTCCCCTCGCGCCTCACGCCTCCCTCCCCACCCTCTCAGGCATTTCTCCTCCCTGCTGCTCGCCGACTCCTCCCCCCCCCGCATGATCGACGACTACCCGTCCTCCGGCGACTCCTCCCTTTTCGGCGCCAACGTCTACTACCGGGGGACCGTCGCCCTCGGGCGTACTGGAATGATCCCAGCGGCACACGTCTACGAGGGGGGGCTCCGAAAGGTCGGCATGCTGGCATGTCGGCTTACTAGGCAGGTCATTGACCTCCCCCCCGCTTGTCCACCCGGCGTGAGGGGCGGGAGCGCAGCCATTCCAACGGCTGGGAAAGCTTCTGAACGGCCGTGCATGCGCCTGCATGCCGGCTTACTAAGAAGGTCCCTCGCTCCTGCTCCTCTCTCGGAAGACGCGCGCCGGCCTGGGGGACTCGCTTGCGATCCCGCTCCAGCCAGAGGCCGCGTGAGGCGTGTGGGACGGTGTACGCTGGGGCTCGGCCCCAAGTGCACTGGCCTCGCGTCTCGAGGGGAGGGCGGCTCGTAACTGAGGTTCGCCGTCAGGGACAGTCGTCCTCCCCTTCTCGGCCGGGCAACTAGGTCATTGAGGCCCCCCCCGGGGAAGAGACCGAACGGCCGGCCGTCACTCTCGGCCATTCCAACGGCCAGGCCGCTCGCTTAAGGCTGATTGGCTAGACGAGCGGCCTACCTCCATGGGGCTGTTGGCACGGGGGGAGGTGTCAATCACGCTCCTGGGACGCCGGAGAGATCGGGTTGGTCTCCCCCGCCTTCAGCCCTGACCCGACGGGGACGCCATCACCCTCGCCCAGGGATCTACAACGCTGTCTTAAGGTCCGACAGGTTCGGCACCGGGCACCGCCTCGGTATACAAAATGCGCCTGCGGGCGGACCCTCACAGATCACAGATCACCCTATATTCTTCTCTCGTTCCTCTGCCCGTGCCTTGGTCTTGTCGTTGTTTCGCACCCATGTCTGTATGGCAATCGAGGCTGCCTTCCCCACTACCTGTAGTTCACTCGTCACCTCTTCCGCGAGCTCCCTCCTCTTTCTTTCGGGTATGGAGTCCGTGAGTGCGGGTAGCGTACAGGCAATCACGGGTGCTATTTTGTCGTACTCCTCTTCGGCGAGCGCTCCAAATCTAGACCCTTTCGCCTTTAAGGAGGCTGCCCTCGCTCGTCTCAGGAATGTGGCGGTGTCTTTTGTGCGAGGCAGCTAAATTGTAAAATTCTTTTCGCTTGAGAAGCCAACTTTTCGCACGAGAAGCCAACGGCGCCGCCTCCGCCCGGCCCGGGGGGGGCCGCCTCCGCAGCCAGAGTTTTAGAGCCCGAAAATGGCCAGCGGCGCGCGGCCGGCCTTGCCGGGCGGTCACGAGCTTGGCGACCAGCTGTACTACACGGGCTCGAACCAGTCGTCTAAGGATGGCGACAAGCTCGTGCACGGCCAGCAGGGCGAGGTCGTCGGCCCTGCGACCGGCGAGCACCAAGGCAACGGCCTGCAGATGCTGTTTCCAGGGAACAAAGTCTACATAGACTGCTCTCTGCTCTGTCTCAGCCGCGAGAAGCCGCCGCCTCTGCCGGGCGGTCACGAGCTTGGCGACCAGCTGTACTACACGGGCTCGAACCAGTCGTTTAAGTCTGGAAGCAAGCTTGTGCACGGCCAGCAGGGCGAGGTCGTCGGCCCTGCGACCGGCGAGCACCAAGGCAACGGCCTGAAGATGCAATTTCCAGGGAACCCACGCTGGATAGATTGCCGTCTGCTCAGGCTCAGCGTCGAAAAGCCGCCGCCTCTGCCGGGCGGTCACGAGCTTGGCGACCAGCTGTACTTCACGGGTCCGAGCGAGTCGTTTGAGAGTGGCGATAAGATCGTGCACGGCCAGTCAGGCGAGGTCGTCGGCCCTGCGACCGGCGCTATGCACCAAGGCAACGGCCTGAGCTTGCAGTTTCCAGGGAACAAAGGCTCCATAAACTGCTCTCTGCCAAACCTCAGCAGCGAGAAGCCGCCGCCTCTGCCGGGCGGCTACGAGCTTAGCGAACGGCTGTACTACACGGGCCCAAACCAGTCGTTTGAGAATGGCGATAAGCTCGTGCACGGCCAGTCGGGCGAGGTCGTCGGCCCCGCGACCGGCGAGCACCAGGGCAACGGCCTGAAGATGCTGTTTCCAGGGAACAAAGACTGGGTAAACTGCAAACTCGCCTCGCTGTCCCACGAGCTTAGCCTGCCCGGTGGCTTCAGAGTGGGAGAGGAGCTGTACTTTATTGGCGGAGGGTTCGTCGAGGAGCAGGGGGACAAGGCCGTGTTTGGCTGCCGAGGATCGGTCACCGGCCCAGCCCGCAACGGCGACGCTGACGCTGTTTCCATGTCTTTCTCCGGCAACCGAGGAGACGTGCACTGCCGGGCCGAAGAGCTCAGCCGCGAGCCGGCGCCCTCGCTTCCTGGCGGCTTCATTCTCGGTGAGCATCTCTACTTCACCGGAGAGGACCAGATCGTCGGGCGCGGCATCCTCGTGCGCGGCTCGCGTGGTGAGGTGGTGGGCCTGGGTTTGGAGCCGGACAGCCTCGCGATGCGCTTTTCAAAGGCCGGACAGCCTCGCGATGCGCTTAACCACCCGGTCAACATCGCCTCCCTGAGCCGCGACGATCCTCCGTGCGCCGTGTCCGTGCCCGAGAATGTATCGCGAGCGCGCCGAGCGCTCGCCGCACGCAGGGAGGAGCAGGAGCGGGCTGCGGCAGCGGCGGCGTCGCAGACGGCAGAGGACATTGCAGCGGAGGCGGAGCGGCGGCAGCAGCTAGCGGCGGAGCTCCTGGAGGAGGAAGCTGCGGCCAGGGCTCCGCCTCCACTTCAGGAGGCGGGACGGAGGAGGAGGAGGAAGAAGAAGCAGAGCGGCTTTCGCGGGTCGAGGAGCAGCGCAACCGAAGGAGCAGAGGGATCGGCCGACTCCACCTCTAGGGCGGCGCCAGCGCGCGAGTCGGCTTCAGAGAGCGACGAGGAGGAGCGCGTGACGCCAGCCGAGGAGGCGCGACGGGCTGAGGAGTCGGAGCGGGCGGCGCGGCGAGAGAGGCAGGCGAGGCTGCTCGAGGCAGCGCGGCGGGAGAGGGAGGAGCGTTTGGAGAGGGAGGCTAGGGCCGAGGCCGCGGCCGCGGCTGCGGTGGAGAGCGAGGCTCGCGGCAGGCGACAGCAGGCGGCGCGAGCGGCGGAGGAGGAGCGGAAGCGAGCAGCGCGGGCGGCGCTGGTGGACGAGATGGAGGCGCAGGCGCGGCAGGAGGAGGCGGCGCGCGCCGCGGCACCGCTGAGGACGACGCAGGCTGAGCAGTCCAGCACGCGGTCGGCGATCGAGCAGGCGCTCTCCCAGGCTAGGTCAGACGCGGCGGCGGCGAGGGTTCGCGAGGCGACGGCGGGGTCAGAGGCGGAACGGGCGAGGTCAGAGGCGGAACAGGCGAGGTTAGAGTCGGAACAGGCGAGGTTGCAGGCGGAGGCGGCGAGGGCGAGGGAGGAGGAGGCGAGGGGGCGAGAGGGGGAAGCAAGGGGGCGGGAGGAGGCGGCGAGGGCAGAGGCGGAGGCGGCGACGGCACGCGAGGAGGCGCTCACCATGCGACTCGCGGCGCTCGAGCTAGGACCCCCACCGGCCGCCCCGCCACCGGCAACCGCAATCAGCGCTGTGGGAGGAGGCGTCGGAGGCACCTTCCACGGTGCCACGCTGCCGCAGAAGGTCTCGCGGATCTGTACGCATTTGGGGCTGGACGCGCGCTCCTCGCTCTCTGCGGCGGTGGCGGCGGCGAACGAGAGCACAGGGGTCGCCGCTGAGGGAGGGCTTCTGCAGCAGGTGGACCGGCTGATCGCGCTGCTATTTGGGGGGCCGCAGGGGGGCGCTCCGGAGGAGGTAAGGTAAGGTCTCTAAGAAAGCCGGTAATCCAAGACACCCAGAGCTCACACAAAATCGGGCAGCCAGGCTTTCTTGATCTTGTGTCTTTGTCGCTGCACTTTCTGTCTCTTGTCAGTTGTCTCACTTGTCTGCGCGGGACGAGGACGTTCGAGAAGAAAGTAGAAGAGAGTGTCGGCGCGAGCAGTGCAGCACCAACAGCACGCAGCAGAGAGGCGAGACGATATGATAGAGAGATACGTGCGACTCAGAGGGCAGGGCGAGTTGTACTTTGTCACGGCGAGTGGCATGTCGTAGGCCATGCATTACCCCATCAGCCCTCAATCACCCCCGCCCACCGGCTCCCTCCTCCCCATCGTCGCCCACCCGCGCCGCGCTCTCCGTCTGCTATCCGCCACTCTCACGGCTGCGCCCGCCCGTGACCCAAAGGTCCACAACAGAGAGTCGGAGCAACCTCGAGTATGTGCCGTATCAAAGTCTGTGCAAGTGTGAACAGCAGCTCCTGACCACGGCGCCGCAGGCGCCTGTTGATAGGTCCAGGTGATAGCCCTGGATAGGCAATGCATACGCCTAGTCGGGCCTCGGATCGCCCGACCGCGTCCCGGTGCTCTGTGGTCGGATTTGTGACGCCGCCGCACCGCGCCGCGGCCGGGGGCCCTCCGGAGGCCAAGGATGGCCGTGACGGAGCGGGACGAGCTCTGGGAGGTTAAGTGTCAGTGTATATATTGTAGAGACCAACCATGTGCACAATATCTCTCAATCTAGCTAAGCCTGGGAAGGCGATGCCAGGGCCGTACAGCAGCTTGATGGTGCTTCGCCGGCGTGCGTCCCGGAGCGGTGCCGGACGGGCGGTCCGGGGGACAAAATCGCGGGACAGCGCCGACACCGCTCTGATTCGACTTTTAACTTCAAACAAAGACAGTGGCACGCGCCACAGCGCGGTGCGTGCCACTGTCAGGAGCAGATACGTCAGTTAGTTGTGTTCACGCGCCGGGATATCGTGATTTCGTGTCCTCCGCAACCTGCACAGACTTTAGGCTACAACAGGTCGCTCATCATGTGTCATGAGACATGACAAAAATGTTGATTGGCCCTCTACTCTGGGTCGCTGTCCCGACTCCGGTTCTTTTGTCTCTCTGTTAGGCCTAAAACTGTTAGGGTGAGCGCGCACACAAACCTCTAACACACCGGCGTCCAGGCAGCACCCCGCCCCTCACCCCTAGCTCACCCCTTCTTCTTGGCCGCCGCGAGGCTCGCCTTAATGGAGGTGGACGAGCGGGCGTGCAGCCCCGCCTGCGGCGCGCGCTTCGCCACGACGTACTCGATGCCCCGCTCGGCGCACTGCTGCCGCTTGCTCGGCTGGTCGCCTGTTCACACCCTCGAGGCGTGAAGCGACGCTGTTCACGGCTGCCGCTGGCGAGTAAGCGTGTCGCCGTCGTGATTGACAAAGAAGATGTCCGGCTTCACCGCGTCGAGGTCTGCGCCTACAACGACACACGACCACGGACACGTCCCGAGCGCGACCTCTTCCGCCCAGTCGCACCGCAGCGATTCCCGGGCGGCCCTGGTCGTGCCCCATGCCCCTGGCGACAAACGCGTGCGACACCCACCGGATCGCGCCAACCTCGGCGGGACAGAGTGATAAGAAGAGTAGGAACAGTAAGCAATAGTCATTATGAATGGTGACAGCTGACTAGGCTTGGCGAGTCCGCAAAGCTTCGCGGAGCTCTCATCCCTCTCTTCCCTCTCTCTCTCTCTCTCTCTCTCTCTCTCTCTCTCTCTCTCTCTCTCTCTCTCTCTCTCTCGCACCATGTACACCCGCTCAGCCTCTGGAAACATGGGCGCAGCCTTGAGGGCGGTGACGTTGGCGTCGTTGCCGACGGAGACGTGCAGCTCGCCCAGAGCGGCGGCCTAGTGCGTACCAGCGGGCATCAGAGCACTGAGAGCTGGCTTCGACCGCGACATGATGTGTTACGGATCACGGTACGGGTGGAGCGAGCCTCCTCGAAGAAGGCAACGTGGCCCGAGTGCAATAGGTCAAAACAGCCGGAGACGAAGACTCGCCGCCTTCGCCGCGGCCGCCGCCGCTGCGCGTGCGAGTGAGCGGTGAGCGCCAGCACGCCCAGCACGAACCCGGCGGCGGCAGGCGCGAACGATGAAAGCCACGAAGGCGGCATGGTCGGTGGAGGACAGCGCTAAGAAAAGAATTTTGAAAGGCGCTGCGCCTGCTCAGGGTGTGTGGCAGCCAGCTGGCTGTGTGTCTTGTGAGCTTGTTTGTGTCTGTGTGTCGCTCGTGCGTGTCGTCATCATCTGTCTAGCGTCCACCCATACCGCGTTGGTGTCCAGTCCGAGCCTGGCTGTTCTTCACCTTTCTACCTACCTACCTGCCTGCTACTTCTGAGCGCGCTCGCGAACATTACGGGGCCGCAGGAACGCGGGACTCGCAAATAAGCCCACAGCCACTTAAGCTGACGCATGGCTCTCATTTATTAAGTGTTCATTCAGGAGCATTCGCAATGCGTTCGTTCGGGGGCACGAGTGGAGGCGACGTTTGAGAGGGCGGTCGGGGAGGAGCAAAAAGTGGTGCTTCCAAAGAAGTAGTTTTCGGGATGAAGGCAGGCTTGATGAAGGCAGGCAGGCCACGTGTCTCCAACCGGCGATCCCTCGGCGCCCGCCGAGAGAAAAGGCCCCACGGCTGGCCATACACGCCACCGCCCCTCCGTCCGTTCCAATGGGTCTCTGCTCGTCGACTGCAAAGCCGGAGCCGCCCTCGCCCGTCGAGACGGTGATGCAGATGTACAAGTCCTTTGGTGAGGGCGATATCGCCGCCATCCTCAAGGCGGGAGATCCGTTCAATACCAAACAACTCTAACACACTTTGTTTTTGGATTTTAGTAGCGAAAAGAAAAAAGAAAGGACTCGCACGCACTGGCACAAACAATTTCACCACAAAAGAAGAACGAAAGACCCCAGATCGGCATCCATGCCTTTCTGGACAGGGTGGCCCGCCACAACGACCCCTGGAATTGCAACTTTCCTCCCTTGATCCCTTAGCGTAAAAAAGAAACATTGGGTTTGTACTATTACAACGAAGGCGCTCTCAAAAAAGAAATAAAATCTGCTCGCCAGTCACCACGAAAAGAAGAAATAACCCAGGTCACAAAAAGCGATCGCTCCGAGTGTTGTGGCCGACCACTTTGGGTTGAGCCCGGACGGCGGCGCACAATGGCGCCAGTGATCGCCTTGTTTGCAGCGCTTGTACAGGAATCGCCAAAATCAGCGTGTGGCCCCGTCAGCAGCTCCGAGAGCCGCAACTGCACCCAGCGGTGCCCGTCTGAGCTCTCCACTCTCTGCGACGCACACAAGGACGTCCCGGCGGCGCTACTCGGCTTTGAGGAGGACAGCCTGTGGATCCCGCGTCTGGATGAGTTCAACTCGTGCACTGGGTCCCGAATAACCCTCACCTACACCCTTCTGGGAGAGGACGGCATGGCAGATGCGCTTGAGGCCGACTGTGGCACCGTCGCCCCGACGCCGTCAGAGGGCGCTGGCATCTACGACGGCTATGTGGTGCAAGCCCCGTGGGTTCCCAATGTGGAGCCGTTGCTTGAGAATCTGTCTCCGCGCATCGCCGCGACGCCAGAAATCGACTGGCTCGACATCAACCCCACCAGCCGCTCGATTGTCTCCTTCAGCAATACGGCGCGCTGTCTCGCCCGCTCTCCTCTCCTCATGCCGAGTGCCAAGCTCACGGGTCGTGCCCGGCAGGTTCGCGCGCTGCCGCTCGACGTCGACTTCATCGCGATCGGGTGGCGCGAGGACGTCTTTCGGCAGTGGCAGCCTGAGCTCGAGGCGATGGGCCTCTGGCCAGGTCCGCCGCGAATACCGGCAGGAAGCTCTGCGCTGCTCCCGTACATGCGCATCATAGATTCGGCGAGTGGATGTAGGCCCGCCAGAGACGCTAGAGGAGCTGGTCGCCGTCTCCGAGTTTCTCAAGGGCAAGGACCACAACGGCGACGGCATCGGCGACTGGGGCTTTTGCCTCACGCCGCAGCCAAACTACTTCACGGCCTTTCTGGCGCCGCTGATGATGAGAAACGAGCAGGCGTGTGCATCCGGGGACTGCAGCGGGGACCGGACCGGCCAGAACCTCTTCTTCGACGTGCAGAGCTTCGAGACGACGGTCGGCAACGCCGCCTACATGCAGGTGCGCTGCCCCTCCCCGCCCCGCCCCGCACTGACCCCCTGAAAATCTGCCGTTGATAAGGAGATCAATGGATTGCGCGGTATTATGTATTCTCAATCCCTGTCTAGATCACTGATATGCTGGTGCGATACAGCTGTACCTCACTCTCACCCTCACTCTCCCCTCCCTCTCACCCTATCGACGCAGCCCTCCCGCCCCCCCCCACATAGGCGCTCCAACTCTTCCACCGCGTCCTGCGCGCCTCAAACTGCCCCGACCAGGCCGAGTCGGCGGACTGGGTGCCGCAAGCCCTGCGCGGCGACCCCCTGTTTTCCGGCGCCGGCAACAGCAAGTGCGACCGCAAGTCCGCCTTCGCGTCCGGCCGGTGCGCGGGCGTCATCTCGATGCCGGGCACGCTGACAAAGATGCTGACGGGCAAGTACACGCCGGTGACGCCGCAGTACCACGTCAACGCCTCGAGCGGCGAGAACACGACGTGGGCCCTGCCGGGGCATGACGCGGCGGACGGGTACTACTGGGGCCGCCGCGCCTTCTTCCCGGGCTCGGAGAAGGTGCTCGACCCTGCGACGGGAGGGCTGGTCGAGTGCACGCCCGACCTCTGCCCCAAGGCCGTCCGTCACAGCCGGACGGGCAAGCTGGTCGACCGAGTCCTCCTCTGCCTCTCGGAGCCTTCGAGGACCCTTCCAGGAACCCTCTCATAGGCAAGCTGGTCAACCGAGCAACCTTCTTCTCTGAGGGGGGGGAGGCGTACGCGCTGCGCGCCTCCTCGCCCGAAGGCAAGAAGAAGGCCCTCTTCGACCTCTTCACGTGGTTCTCGGAGCTGCCCCCGTCCAAGGTGCCGCTGACCGGCCTCTACCGCCAATCGCAAGTGGCGAATGCTGCGTCTTCGGTAGCCGAGCTGGTCGAGGAGGGCTGGCCGCAGCAGGCTGCGGACGACCTCGTCGAGCTCCTCGCCGAGCTCTTCGACGAAGGCAGCAACGCGGCGCAGGATCTGCTCCTGCTCGGCTTCAGCGACTACAACGAGCGGCTCGACCAGCGGCTGCTCGACGAGTTCCTGCTCACGCCGCCCTTCCTCACCGCACCCGAGGTCGACGAGCTCGCGTTCGCCGCCGCGAGCGACGCGCTAGTCAGCCAGCTGCGGAGCGACTACGACGATGTGACCCGCGACTACGGGGGCGCGGCGGGGCAGGTGCAGCGGTGGCGCGCGTCGCTCAACCTGCTGCCCCTCTCGGCCGCGGCGCTGTGCGACGGCTTCTACGCCTCGCTCGACGAGGACGAGAAGCGCCGCTGCTCCGAGGACAACCTGCAGATCCTCGTGGCCACACTGTGTACGGTCGCCGGCTTGCTCGTGCTCGTGCTGCTCGTGCTCGGATGCCGCTCGATCCGGAGGGGAGTGAGGCGCAAGGCGGAGCTCGAGAGAGCCGCCGACGCGCTCGTGCGGCGGCAGGTGACGGACGCGATGGGCTACGTCAACGAGCTGCAGACTCCGATGGTGCTGATGCGCGCCTCGGACTTCATGCGGCTCGGCGAGCTCCGCCCGCACGAGGAGCTGCGCGACGCGGGTGCGGTGGTCTTCGTCGACTCGGTGAGCGACCCCTTCTTGACGGAGCACCTGACCGTCTTCTTCTCGCACCAGTGGCTCGGCTACCAGGCGCCCGACCCCGACGCCGGGCCGGTGCACCAGCGCTCTCTCTCGCTGCCATGCCCAACCCCCCCCCTCCCCCCCTCCCCCCCCCCCCCCCCTCCTCCCCCCTCCTCCTCTTAGGCGCCCGACCCCGACGCCAAGCAGTTCCGCTCCATGTGCCGCGCGATCCTCGCGATCGGCGAGCGGGAGGGCGTCGCACCAGACGCCATCTACGTGTGGGTCGACTGGGTCTCCATCCCGCAGCGCGTCAAGAGCGTGCAACAGCTGTCGATCAGCTCGCTGCCCCTCTTCGCCTCGCTGCTGCACTGCTTCGTCGTCGTCACGCCCGAAGCGATGCACCACGAGAGCCGCCAGAGGTGCGACCGCTCCACCTTCCACTCGCGCTGCTGGTGCCGCGCCGAGGTGATGTCGCATTGGGCTCGCCGCGGCGCAGCGAACATGTACTACGCCGATGAGGAGGGGCTGCAGCCGATGGCGCCCAAGGGGGTGGCCTCGGTGGCCGAGGAGGAGGACTTCCTCTCGTCTATCCACGTGTTCGAGGGAGAGCTCTCCTGCTGCGCGCTCGGCCACCCGGGCGGACGGCCGTGCGACCGCGAGCTGCTCGTCTTGCCCATCCTTGGGCTGTACGGCCAGATCTACGAGCAGGTGCGTTGCGGGCACCCACCTCGGCCAGTCTCGCCGGATCTCGCCTAATCTCGGCGAATCTCGGGCAGGTGGTGCACTGCGGGGACCCGGCCGCCGCGAAGGCGAGGGCGGAGGAGCAGCCGGAGGGCGAGTTGTCGCTGGCGACCGTCTCTCACTCAACGGACTCGACCATCGGGGGAGGAGGCGGCGGCGGAGGAGGAGCAGGAGGAGGAGGCGAGGCGGGCGGTGACCCGTACCCGATCTCGGAGCAATCTCGCTGCCCTCCGATGCGGTCCGAGATGCGGTCCGAGGCGAGGGGCGGCGGCCGGCACGCGAGGGCGTGCGACCAGTGCGACGAGGCCAACTCGCCGCACAAGGCGCTGCGCTTCAGCGGGGCCGAGACGGCGGGCGACCCTACGAGCGACGAGAGCCGCCGTCGCTCCTGCGCTTCTGACGACGTGGCGCGACGAGCCGTGCCCCCTTCGGCTCCGCACAGCCCTCCCGTTTCTGGACGCGCGGCCCTTCGCTTCTTAGGCGCGGGCAAGCGTGACTACACTCCTACGCACTCGACACTACAGCCAAGCAAGCCTTGGCGTAGGCGCACGCTCGCGTCATCTTCGACACGGTCCGCCCGCGCGTCAAGGCAAGCTGGCCTATGGCCACCGCTCCTCCTCCTCCTCCCTTGTGTGTCTCACACGGCACCGCTCTCCCTTGCGGCACAGGCAATCTTCCCGCGAACCTACGTCCACGTCTCCGCCGCCGGCAAGGAGGAGAGACCACTTTTCGGCGACCTCATCTCGGCCATCGAGTCCGAGATCGACGCGCGGGGCGGTGGTGGCGGCCGGCTGAGGCCAACCTTTGGCAGGTACCAGCCCGGTGCGAAGTACGCTGAGCCGCTCGACGCCGCCGCCACGCCGGGCGGTCGGCCACGCATGCACCGCCCCCCTTCGTCGATCGCGAGCAGCGTGACTTCGCCCTACAGCCGCCGCCGCTCCGCCTCGACGGGGCACGCTGTCGCCTTTGGCCTTGGCGAAGCGCGCGCCTCGCGCGGCGCACTCGCCGTTCTGCCCTCTGCTCCTCCCACCTGCAGCAGCCTTCTCGGAGCCGGGAGCCCCTCCTGTGTAGGCTCGCGCACCTCTGGCGACTCGACGGCCATGCACAAGTCATTGATTCGTTCGTAGCTCCTGTTCATAGGCTCGCGACACTCCGGCGACTCGTCGCCCAACCGGCGCTCCTTCCGCTCCTCGCTCTCGCGGCACGGCAGCGAGATCAGCGGCTCGGTCAGCTCTGGCGCTGTGCGGTTCCGCGAGTCGGCGCGGCAGGCGCTCGCGCTGAGTCGAGCGGGGGTGCTCTCGGGCGGCGGAGCGAGGCGGCAGGTGCCGCGCCGCTCGTAGCTCGGCTCATCTCGGCTCATCTCGGGCTATCTCGGGCTATCTTGGCAGGTGCCGCCGCGCCACTCGACGGCAAGCTCGACGCCGTCCAGCGGGGGCGGCGCGAGGCGGGGCGCACCTTCGCAGGCGCAGATGAGTCGAGATGAGTTCCGAGGTGAGCCGAGGTGAGCCGAGGTGATGCCCCGCCACAGGCGTGGAGCTCCTCGCCCGCCGCGTCTCCCGCGAGGCCGAGGCGGCTCGGCTCGTTCACGGAGGACGAGGACGAGGGCGGCGGCGAGGAGGAGGGCGCTGTCGCCGCGCCGTCGCAGCTCGTGTGAGCTCCTCTTGAGTGCATGCTGGCGCCGCAAGAGCAGCGCGGGATTGGTCGTTTCGCCTCGGAGACAGACCTTGGCGCCGGGCTGTAGTAGTCCGCCCACCCCCTTTCACCCCTCTCATCCGCAGTCGTACCACCGAGTGCACCCGGCTTGGGAAGCCACCTTGTACGTTAGTTGCACCCAGCGGGGGAAGCACCTCTGACGCGTACTGTCATGCAGATTACTCCTTGTTTTGTTCGTCATAGATTTAGATAGCGGAGAGCGGTATCGTTGGGAGTTGAGTGGGCGGCCTCGTCTGTAAGTAAGACTAAAGCGGGTAAGGGGCCTTAGCCTTACCCCGCTTCATTCACCCTCGCCGTGGCCTCGCTTCGCTGCTTGGTGTTTCTGAACACGGCTCGGGGGAGGGCCCTAAAACCTAAATCGTGCAGAGATCGACTTGTTCGACGACGAGAGTGGGATGGCTATCAGCTGGCGGGCGTGCAGCGGATGATAGAGGTCGGCACACCGTTCGCAAAGAGGCTTTGAGGTTGAAGCGCTCAAGCAACGACTTGCCGTGAGGAGCCGATCGCCACTTCGATGAGTCACGCTCGGCGGCGCATATCACTTGGGCTAGTTCCACTTACAAAAAAGAAAGAAAGAAAACAGACAACCCAAGGGAGGGATGGGAGGACGGCACGCCGCCACCACACAGGGATTTTAAGGAGAGGTGTGTGGTGCGCTATCCGTCGCCCACCCTAGGGAGTCTGCCTCTTCCTATCTCTCTTCGCAGTCTCTCGCCGATTCTCGCTGCAACCTTCATGCCACCTCGCGGTCGTCCCACCCTCGTCATTCTCTCCCTTGTCACTTCCTCCTCTGTCGCGTCGTTCTCTTCTGCCTCGTCCTGCGACGCCGCCGCCTGCCGGTCCCTTGTTCTCGCGGCTTCTTTCGCCTTTCGGCGCAACTCCGTCCTCCTCGCGGCGTATCCTGGCCCCTCGAGTCTATCGAGCTCCCCTCGCGCAAGGACCACATTTCTGACTCCCACTCCGATCATTTGCCTACAGGTCATGTTGTTGCTCAGGTCCACTCTCTCTTCGAACACTCGTGCCTCTACGGATGATCCACTTACAAAACTTTGATATGGTCAGCGTTTGAATTCTTTTTTCGAAGCCCAGCGCGGGAGGCCGCGCAGAGAGGAGGCGCTCAGCATCCGCAACCCCGCCCGTTTGCATGCCCGGCCGGACGAAGGCTGGCTTGGCCGGCTCCCGGCGCGGAAACGCGTCAACGGCGGCTACTGCTGCGCCGCTCGCGCTGCCGAAACGGATCGAGGCGGCGGCGGAGAAGGGCAAGGTCGACGTGGTGCAGACGTGGCTCAGCGGGGCTGGGCGGGTTGATGCGACGTGCGTGCATCGCGGCGTGAGTGGCTGTACGCTCCTGCTGATCGCCGCCGAACACGGTCACAAGCAGCTCGTTGAAGTGCTGCTGCAGCGCGGCGCGGAGGCGGACGCGCGAGACAGCGAAGACCACACGGCGCTGATGGCCGCCGCCGCCAAGGGCCACGAGCAGGTGGCCGAGATGCTGCTGCGGCACGGCGCAGGGATCAACCTGCAGGACAATATCGGCGGCACCGCGCTGCTAGTGGCCGCTTTCCACAACCATCCCGCCGTGGTGCTCCGCCTGCTGCGCGCGGGCGCAGACATGACACTGCGCGTTGCGGCGGGCAAGACGGCGCTACAGATTGCCAAGGAGGAGGGCCACGCCGAGTGCGTCGAGGCCTTCAGGACGTATCTCGGGGAGGTGACGGCGGCGCGCAGCAAGGCGCCGTCGGCCGAGGCGGGTGGCGCAGGGGCGAGCGGCGCACCCGCAGGCGAGGCGGTGGAAGGCAGCAGTGCTTTGGCCTCTGCCTCGAGCGGCGAGGGCGGCGTGGAGGCCGAGCCGAGCAGCGGGGCGGTGCCAGAGGAGGTCGTGCTGGCGGCTGAGCGAGGAGACGAGTCGCCGGTGCTGGCGTGGCTCGACGGCGGCGGGCGGGTGGATGAGAGGTTCGAGTACACAGGTTTTGGTGACGGCTCTCGTAAGAGCGGCATGACGCTGCTGATGCTCGCAATGGCCAATGGCCGCGCGGGGTTGGCCGAGGCGCTTCTGCGGCGCGGCGCAGATGTCTCGTTGCAGACCAGCAACGGCAGCACCGTGCTGATGTTCGCCGCCGTGAACGGCTTCGAGAAGATGGTCGAGCTGGCACTGCGGCGTGGCGCGGAGGTCGACCAGCCAAACAAGGTTGGCAGCGCTGCGCTGATCGAGGCCGCCTACAGAGGCCACGAGCGGGTTGTAGACACGCTGATCCGGCACGGCGCGGAGATCGATCTGCAGAACCAAAACGGCGACACCGCTCTGATGTTCGCCGCTGCCAACGGCCATCCCGACTTGGTGCTCCGCTTACTGCGGGCGGGCGCAGATGCGACGCTGCGCTCTAAGGATGGCGAGAACGCGCTGCGGTGGGCCAAGGAGAATGGCCACGCCGAGTGCGTGCGCGCCCTCAAGGAGCATGCGGCGGCCGAGAAGGCGGCGGAGAAGGCGGCGAAAGAGGCGGCGTGGGCTGCGGGGGCGGCGGAGAGGGAGGCGCAGAGGGCGGCGGAGGAGAAGGAGGCGGCGCGGCACGCCGACGAGCTGCTGGCGGAGGTCGAGGCTGAGAAGCGCGCCAAGGGCAAGAAGGGCAAGAAGAAGAAGAAGAAGAAGGGCGGCGGGAGCGGCGGGGCTGGGCCGTCGCAGGAGTCCGAGGCGCCGGCAGAGGCGGCGGCGACAGCCAAGCCCGCGCCGTTGGACAGGGAGGGGCTGCTCAAGCTTCTCGCGGAGCTCCACGAGGACAGGATCCGGTTCGGCATCACGCCGGAGACGTCGGTCGAGGGGCTGGCAGAGGCGCTGGGAGAGGCGGCGGGCGAGGCGAGCGAGGAGGAGGGCGACGAGGAGACGGCGGAGGCGGCCGAGGAGGAGGGCGAGGAGGAGGGCGAGGAGGAGGGCGAGGAGGCGGCAGCGGAGGCGGCAGCGGAGGCGCGCCGGCAGGCTGAGGCGGAGGCTGCGGCTGTGGCAGCGGCAGAGGAAGAGGAGGCTGCCGCAGCGGAGGAGGAGGCGGCCGAGGCGGCCGAGGCGGCAGTAGCGGCGGCAGAGGCGGCGCTCGCCGCAGCCAAGGCGAGGCGCGCGTCAGTTGCCGCTGCGAGGGCCAGGGCGCGGGAGGCGGCCTAGCCCGCGCGCAAGGACAGCTGGCGCAGTGGCAGCCATGGGGAAGGGTCTCTCGTACTCTGGGGCGCGTTCTCTCGTGAACGATCGTGGCTGTGGGCTGGGCCCCGCGCCGCGCGGGCGCGCGTGCGGTCCCTCGAGGTCTCGCCGGGAGCTGCTAACACAGCCGTACGAAGGGTGGGCGGTGGCGCGAGAAAGTTGCAACTCGCATAGAGTGCGAGTGCATCTCTCAGCGCAGAGTGACTCAGAGTGTGGGTGTGGCTGTGGCGACACCGTGTGGGCGTGCAGTCCGGGAGTGGGGTTTCGGGAGCGCGGCTTTTCCCTACGGGGCACATGTTGTCCAACGTCGAAATCAGCGCACACATATCGGCAAGCTTCTCTCTCTTTCTTCGGGTTAGGGAGTCTGTGTGAGTGCGGGCAGCGTGGCAGGCAATCACGGGCCCTTGGAGCACTTTTGGAGTGTGCGGTGCAGTCGGCAGCCTCACATCCAGGGCCGGGGAGCTCAGAAGCACACCCAGCGGGCCGGATCATGATCGGGATCGGGCTACTTGCGCAAAAAGGTACATCTCGGTGCCTTCCAGAGGCAGCTGCGACCCCGCCGAGTGGACGGTAACACACAGCAGGTGGCGCGGTGTGTGTTACCGTCCACTCGGCTCTGGGTCGCAGCTGCCTCTGCGCGTCCTGGGTATGTACCTTTGTCGCGCGCCGGAGACGACTCGACGCCGCTGAGATCGCGGATCAAGCTCTGACAGGTCGCACGTCGCTCCTTTGACGCCGACGTGACTCACCCGTGCAGATCACATCAGGACACGGTCTCGACGCGCTCGGTACGACGCCTGCGACCCGTCTCCGGTCAAGTGGCACGACGCTCATCGCGCCCGCCAGCGCTGCCGTGCAGGTTGCCACGACGAGGTCGAGCACGCTTCTATACGCTCGCCGAGCCTTCCTTTCCATCCCATTAGGCAGCCTGGGAATGGTGGCGGTCAGAGGCAAAGCCTGCGAGGGGTGGTGGAACCACATGTCACGGCTACTGCCGGCTCGACCCCACGATAGCCTCCGAAGGCTGACTTTGCGGCACCATCATCGGACGATGTCGACGAGTTGGGTCGCTCTCGCGGTAGCCAGATGACCTCTCATACTAGTATCATCGGCCATGGCCGCAGGAAGCGCGGGGGATTCCGCTGGGAGCAACACGGAGCTCCGTTGGACGCGTTTTCAAGATTAGCGTGTCAGAGTGAATTGGAACTAGCCATGGCGATCGCAATTCCCCGGGGAAGCCGAGGTCATGAGTCGGGTTCGGCGACATGGTGTACGCCACGGTCCCTGTCTATGGGCTCCGTGGCGACGAGGGTTGCCCGCCCGGGACTGGCTCGCTAGCGAGCGAGCTCTCCGAGCCGTGGGTCTCGCCTTTTGTGTGTGTATCGCGCGCCTTGCGGGGGGGTGGGGGGGGGGGAAAAAGAAACCTTTTAGCCCCTTCCCCATGGTGTTGACAGATCCCGGAGACGATTTTTTTTCCTCTTCCCCCGGGCCCCCCCCCCCCCCCCCCCCCTCCAAGCTGCACCCCCGCCTGGACGGTGGCGGACGTGCCGAGAGACAAAATTGGCTGCCGCTGACATTTGCCGGATTAGCTGCTGCCGCATACTCTACGGCCATGTCCATTGCTGAGCCGCTGCGGCCCAAACCGTCCACGGCCTACGTGGCGAAACAGCGCCATTCCCACAATTTGTCGCAGAACGTGGAACCGCTCTCTGCGTGGGAGCCGCCACCGGCGCTCCAAGGCCAGTGGGCCCGCGGTGCATATGGGATGAAGTTCTACACAACCGGCATGATCAACTACGTGGTCTCGTGGCTCCTTTTCATACCGCTCATGCCGCTGTTCGCGCTGCTCTTCCTCTTCTGCGCGCTGCTCCGCCCGGTGCCGAAGAGCTGCAGTGGGCCGATCAGCTACGGCGTTGCTGTCGGTTGGCAGTATTTGGCGTACGTCTGCGTCACGTTTGGGTGCCTTCGGCACACCTACTTTTCGTTGCTCGTGATGCGCGCCAAGCAGCTCGCGGACTTCCTCTTCACGACCAGCCTCACCCTCTCGTACTTCCCCTACTCTGAAGCCGTCGGCTCGATGGACTACTTCTATTTCAACGGCTTGTACGTCGGCTCGTACGACTACGTCCGCTCGCTCATCCTCGATGCCAAGCGCGAACGCTCCCTCTCGCTCGGCTCGGTTGCCCTCTCCCTCCCGCGCAGCTTCTCACCGCTCACGTCTGCTTCAGTTTCGGCTCGCCGTACCACTCGAACTAATTATATTCATCCTAATTAATAATTCATTAGGCCGGTCTTCTTCAGCACCGGCTCGCCATACCACTCCGCGTGGCGAACCGTCTTCTTCCGTGAGTTCACGCGCCGCGCCGACGTGCAAGCGATGCTAGCCGACGACGCGGCGGGCCTCGCGGCCGTCGCCGCACCCTACATCAGAGAGTGGTTGGCGGTCGGCGATTTCCACACGCGCGAGCACGTCTCGGCCTGCATCTTCCGCCTCCTCGCTCGCATCCTCTTTGGCATCGAGACCGTGCCCCAATCGCTCCTCGCCGCCGCGCAGGCATTTGGCTCCAGCATGGGCGCCTTCACGGCCGTCGCCCCCGCGTGGGCGCACTCGCTGCTCTGTGGCAAGCTGCAGGCCAGCTATGGCGAGCCGGCGCGCTACGGCCTCTCCTCCTACCTCCTCGAGCACTGCAACGCCGCCAAGCCCGCCGCCCTCAAGGGGCGGCCCTTTGACTGGGCGGCCATGGCGGCCGAGTGCCTCCGCAGCGGCGCCCTCGCCGACGACGAGGGGCACCGCCCCGGCAGCGGCGGCCACGCGGACGCGCCTCTCGACCCCGCGCACGTTCGATCGTACGTGCAGAGTGTCGTCGACGGCCTCCTTTTCGCCGGGCTGATCGGCACCTCCACCCTCGTCGACACGTCAGCCCTGCCGCGGCTGCGCGGCGTGTACAAGCCCGAGGGAGGCCGCCCAGAGACGCTCCTCTCCGCCGCGGAGCACCTCGCGCTCTACCGGCAGCGGCCCCGCCCCTGGCTGCTCGAGGCGGTCCGGCTGCAGCCGCCCGTCATGTCCTCCTCCAAGGTAACGCCCGCCGGCGGCACCCGCTGCCCCTTCCGCGGCGCCGAGCGCATCCTGCCCGAGGGCACCTTCGTGGTCGCCAACCTGTACCACGCCTCCACCGACCCTGCGGCGTGGGGCAACGACGCGCACGACTTCAAGCCCGGCCGCCCGGCCGATAAGTACCTGAACTGGAACGGCCCGTTCGGCGGCGACGCGCCGCGCCAATGCCCGGGCGAGCACCTGTCCTTGGAGATGGGGAAGGCGCTCGTCGACGCGTGGGTCGAGGCCAAGGCGCCGCCGCTCGAGGCGTGAGGATCTTGGGCGTACCAGCCCCACCCCCGCTCCGGGGGGGGCAGCCACGCCCGACTCCGTCGATGCGCGACTCTCGACGCGCGTAGTTAGTTGTAGTAGAGCGTAGAGTACAGACAGTCGAGCATGTGTGTGAGTCAGAGGTCTGCGTGATAAGGAGACTCGCCGAGTCACTGTCATGATCGAGCCTCCCGGCGATCGAGGACTAGCACTAACCAGCGACCGTCCACGTACCAGCTACCACGCACGATACATCGTCGGTAGAGCCCGTACAAAAGCCGTGGTGTGCGTGCGAGCCTGCCTGCGAGCCGTATATACAGAGAGCGGGCCGCGCCCGCGCGTAGAGCGCCCGCATGGCTAGTGCCATTTCACTGTGGCACAGATCGCGTTACAAAACCTTGATTTGACCATTTGCGCCATTTGGTACCTCTCGGTGCCTTCCAGAGGCAGCTGCGACCCCGCCAAGTGGACGGGGGCTCGCACTCGGCAGGTGGCGCGAGTGCCCCCGTCCACTCGGCGGGATCGCAGCTGACTCTGCGCGTCCTGGAGATGTACCAAATTGTCGCCGCCGGAGACGACTCGACGCCGCTGAGATCGGAGATCAAGCTCTGACAGGTCGCACGTCGCTCCTTTGACGCCGACGTGACTCACCCGTGCAGATCACATCAGGACACGGTCTCGACGCGCTCGGTACGACGCCTGCGACCCGTCTCCGGTCAAGTGGCACGACGCTCATCGCGCCCGCCAGCGCTGCCGTGCAGGTTGCCACGACGAGGTCGAGCACGCTTCTATACGCTCGCCCAGCCTTCCTTTCCATCCCATTAGGCAGCCTGGGAACGGTGGCGGTCAGAGGCAAAGCCTGCGAGGGGTGGTGGAACCACATGTCACGGCGCTACTGCCGGCTCGACCCCACGATAGCCCCGAAGGCTGACTTTGCGGCACCATCATCGGACGATGTCGACGAGTTGGGTCGCTCTCGCGGTAGCCAGATGACCTCTCATACTAGTAGCACCGGCCATGGCCGCAGGAAGCTCGGGGGAGGGCGCTGGGAGCAACACGGAGCTCCGTTGGACGCGTTTTCAAGATTAGCGTGTGTCAGAGTGAGAAATGGCACTAGCCTCAGAGGGGTTAGGAGAGAGGGTGTGAGTGCATCCTCTGAGGGTTTTGGGGGCTCAATTCTTTCTTCACTTGAGGATCTGTTATATATATCTCCGCGGCACAAAAGCTGAGAAACTGTCCGCCGGGCCCCGGGCCCGCGGCCCCCCCCGGCCGGCCCCGCGGCCGCGCGCGGTGGCGGGCGGGCGGCGGCGCGGTTCACAGTGTCTCTCCTCGCGCGGCGAGCACCGCAGAGCGCAGTCCGCGCGTGGAGTTCGCCCCCCCCCCCCCCCTGACCTCCCCGGCTCAAGTGAACAGCGACAACACCCAAGCACACATCTCAGTGCACGGCGAGCGCGTCCTCGACGGAAGCTCCCAAGCTCCACCCAGAGAGAGTCCGCAGGGTGGTGGCCACGCGCTTCTTCTGAGCAGCTCGCGCTATGAGCGCTGGGCCGCCTCCGCTGCCATCCTGGCGGCGGTCGCCCTGGCCCTCGCAGCTACTGCAGCAGCACGCCTCGCCTCTGTCGCGGCCGCCGCCTCCTCAAACGCCGCCTCGCCCTTCTCAACAGCCGAGTCGGCCCCACTCAGCGCCGCCTTCGCCTCCTCAAACGCCGCTCTGGCCTCCGCCTGCGCCGCCCTGGCCTCCGCCCGTGCAGCCTCGGCATCCGCCTCCGTCGCCTCAGCCGCCGCCTCGGCCTCCTCCTCCTCCTCCGCCTCCTCCTCCGCCTCGTCCGCCTCAGCGTCCAAGCGTGCCGCCTCGGCCACCTCTGCCGACGCCGCCGCCTGGCTCTCCGCCGTGATGCCGAACCGGATCCTCTCCTCGGTGAGCGTCTCGAGAAGCAGGAGGAGCCTCGCCTCCTCGGCCTTCTTCGCCGCCTCGGCTGCGTCTGCCTCCGACGGCGCCTCGGGTTCTTGCGACGGCCCCGCCCCGCCGCCCTTCTTCTTCTTCTTGCCCTTCTTCCCCTTGGCGCGCTTCTCCGCCTCGACCTCCGCCAGCAGCTCCTCGGCGTGCCGCGCCGCCTCCTTCTCCTCCGCCGCCTTCTGCGCCGCCCTCTCCGCCGCTCCCGCGGCCCACGCCGCCTCCGCCGCCGCCTTCTCCGCCGCCTTCTCGGCCGCCGCATGCTCCGCGAGGGCGCGCGCGCACTCGGTGTGGCCCTCCTGCTTGGCAAACTGCAGCGCGGTGTTGCCATCTGCATTGCACAGCGTCACGTCTGCGCCGGCTCGCAGCAGGCAGAGAAGGGCGGCGGAGTGGCCGTGGTAAGCGGCCCGATCCAGTGCGGTGTCGCCGTTCATGTCTTGCAGGTCGATGTCCGCGCCGTGCCGGATCAGCGCGTGGACAATATTCTCGTGGCCGTTGGTGGCGGCGCCCATCAGCGCGGTGATGCAGTGACTGCCGTTTCGCTCGTTGATCTCCGCGCCGTGCCGCAATGCCAGCTCGAGCAGCTTCACGAAGCCATTCGCGGCGGCGCCCATCAGCGCGTTGGTGCCGTTGCTGGTATGCAAAGAGACATCCGCGCCGCGCTGGAGCAGCGCCTCGGCCAGCCCCTCGTGGCCCTTGGCCATTGCGATCATCAGCAGCGTCACGCCGCTCACAACGCCGCCCGAATAGAGGCACTCGAACGTCACGTCGACCCGCCCGCCGCCGTCGAGCCACACCAGCACCACCTCCTCATCGCCTCGCTCAGCGGCTAGCACAACCTCCTCTGGCAGCGCCCCGCTGCTCGGCTCAGCCTCCGCGCCGCCCTCGCCGCTCGAAGCAGAGGCCGCGGCACTCGCACCCACCGCCGCGCCTGCGCCGCCCGCCTCGGCCGACGCTGCCTTGCTCCGGACCGCCGCCACCTCCCCGAGATACGTCTTGAAGGCCTGGACGCACTCGGCGTGGCCCCTCTCCTTGGCCAACTGCAGCGCCGTCTTGCCCGCCGCATCGCGCAGCGTCATGTCTGCGCCCGCCCGCAGCAGGCGGAGCATGACGGCGGGGCGGTTGTGCGCTGCGGCGTGCATCAGCGCGGAGCCACCGTTCTTGTTCTGCAGGTCGATCTCCGCGCCACGCCGCAGCAGCAGATCGACGACCCGCTCTTTGCCGCCGTGGGCAGCCGCTGATAGCGCCGGCCAGGCCGAATCTTGCGGGCTCATCTCCGCGCCGCGCCGCAGCAGCAGGTCGACCACCCGCTCTTGGCCGCCCTGGGCGGATGATGCCAACGCCGTCCCGATCTCCGCTCCGTGCTGCAGCAGCATCTCCACCATTCGCTCGCGGCCGTAGTAGGCGGCAGCGTTGAGCGCTGTGAGGCCGAGACTGTTCTGCAGGTTGATGTGCGCGCCACGCTTCAGGAGGAGCTCGACAATCTGCACATGCCCGTTCTGTGCGGCGAGCATCAGCAGGGTGTATGGAACCGTACTGCCGCCGACCTCAGAGGGTATCTCAGCGAGAGTGTTGGCTTTCCCGCCGTCATTCAGCCACGATCGCACTGGTCCCAGTCGGCCGTCCGTAGCCGCCTTCAGGACGTTCTTTGGGAACTCACCACCCGGCGCGCTATCAGCAGACGGCGGCGGCGGCGTGCGGAGCGCGGCGTTGGCGCGGGAGCGCGAGTCGGGCATGACGGCTAGTGGGCTGGCGCGCGATTTGTTTTTGTCCACAGAAATTTCTTTTCGCTGAAAAAACATAACACCTCAATCCCCAAAAACAAGAAAAAGAAATCCGCGCGCCAGGCCCACGCCGCAAGAAAGATCAAGGAAAAAGACTAGGCTAATAACTCCCTCAGATTACAAGAAAAAGAAATTGGCGCTGCACACCACCCGATGGCCTCCCACCGCATCGGCGCGCGCGTCGCGGGCCTCTCGCCAGCGCAGCTGTGCGCCATCATCGAGGCGCAGGCGGGCGCGAGCGACGCCGCGCTGCGCGTGGCGGAGGAGCACGCCGCTCGGCTCGTGGAGCAGCCCGAGTGGATCCTCTCCGAGGTCCTCCTCTCGCCGGACCTCGCCCCGCACATCCTCGTCCAGCTGCCGACCACGGAGCACGCCATCAAGGGAACGTGCCGCGCGTGGCGCCGCGGCTGGAAGGAGACGCTGAAGAAGCGCGAGAGGCCGCGCCTGACTGTGATCGGCGGCCACGACGGCGATGGTGAGACTGTCAACTCGCTGAGCGGTACGACCCGTCAACGAATGAGTGGGAGGAGGAGGCTGTGGCGCCGATGCTAACGGCACGAACGCATGTCGGCACGGCGGTGCTCGACGGCAAGCTCTACGCGGTGGGCGGCGAGAATGACGACGACCACTACCTCACCTCGGTCGAGCGGTACGACCCGGCAGTAGGCGCGTTGGATGTGTGGGAGGCGGTGGCGCCGATGGCGACGGCTCGGCAGGCTCACGGCGTGGCGGTGCTCGACGGCAAGCTGTACGCTGTGGGCGGCGACCACGTTGACGGCTACCTCAGCTCGGTGGAGCGGTTCGATCCCGCGACGAACGCGTGGGAGGCGGTGGCGCCGATGGGGACGGCGCGGAGTGACCATGGCGTGGCGATGCTCGACGGCAAGCTGTACGCTATGGGCGGCGACCACGTTGACGGCTACCTCAGCTCGGTGGAGCGGTTCGATCCCGCGACGAACGCGTGGGAGGCGGTGGCGCCGATGGGGACGGCGCGGAGTGACCATGGCGTGGCGATGCTCGACGGCAAGCTGTATGCTGTGGGCGGATTCGATGGTGGCCGCCTCAGCTCGGTCGAGCGGTACGACCCGGCGGCGAACGCATGGGAGGCGGTGGCGCCGGTGGCGGAGTTGCGGGACGAGCTCGCAGTTGCGGTGCTCGACGGCAAGCTGTACGCCGTGGGAGGCTTCAACGACGACGACGGCTGGCTCAGCTCGGTGGAGCGGTACGACCCTGCGCTGGATGTGTGGGAGGCTGTGGCGCCGATGGCGACGGCTCGGTGTCGTCACGCCGTGGCGGTGCTCGACGGCAAGCTGTACGCTGTGGGCGGGTACAACGATGAGAACGAGGGGGCGCATATCGGCTGCCTGGTGGAGCGTTACGACCCGGCGTTGGAGGTATGGGAGGCGGTGGCGTCGATGGGGTGGGCACGGCTCTCTCCGGGCGTCACCTTGCTGTAGCCGACGGAGCATGGAGTGCGAGGTCAGGGCAGAGCCAACGCGAGAAAGAAACATTCGCACGAGCTGTGTGTATGTAGGACGTTTGCGTTTTTCTTTTTATTCAAAGCCCCTCGTCTGACAGCAACACCCGACAGCTCCGACAGCACCCGACACGCGACAGCTACAGATATCCCCTCTGACTGTCAGACACGCACCCGACAGCAGTCAGCACCCGACAGCACTGACACAGACAGCACTCAGCAGCACACGTGTGGAGATGCGAGGGTTCGCCCCCCCTTGCCCCACCACTTTGTGTGTGGAGAATTTTACCTTACCTTACCTTACCTTAGTCCTCACAACCTGGGCATATGCAGGATACATGCATTCTCGACACTCGCGTGGGGAAAAATTAAAACGGCCCCCGCGTGTGGCTGTGATGCTGGGCGGTGACCTCAAGGCACAAGGGGCTCAACCGACTACGGAGGAATCCGTCGCCAGAGGACGCAACTCGCAGGGCAGCCGACGGGGGATGGCAGGGCCCCTGCGCCCCTTCACCTCGGGCAGTAGAAGGTCACCTTGTACTCGACCCCCGCCTACAGCAGCCGCACCTGACTCTCACGGGCCGCGGGAGAAAGAGAGAGCGCCTCTTTCCTTGGCAGAGCGGCGCCGGGCACTGCGCGAGTCCGACGCCGTCGTCGTAGGCGAATGCGTACACGGACGGGCACAGTCGGTGCACCGCCTAAGAATGACTCGTGAGAAGCTGACACGCGGCCGGCCTTGGGCGGGCGGCAGCGGCATGTCGAGCTTCAGCCTCGGTGTACAGCGCGCGCGCCACCGGCCCGCTCGAGCACGCCTCAGGCTGGACCGGCGGCGTGGGGCAGCAAAAGTCGCGCGCCTCTTCGGACTGCGGCGCGTGCCCGTAGCCCTGGCCCCACTGCCCAAAGGAGAGCTTGCCTGATGGACTGACGAATGAAGTCACTAGTGTTGGTTGGCTGGCGAGCCCCACTGCCCGAAGGAGAGCGTGCCGCAGGGGGAGTAGCACCCGACCACTTGCGTCTTGTTGTGCAGCGCGTGCAGCTGCAGGTCCTGCTCCCCGTGCGCCGGGCCGAGGTCCTCCTTGTCGGGGCACTGCGAGAGCGCGAGAGTCGAGCAGTCGATCACGGACGGCGACTGTGGGCAGTCGCCGCTCACCTCGACCTTGTACGGCAGCGTCCACCCGTCCACCTGCCAGACACGCGTGTGCGTGTGCGTGTGCATGTGCATGTGCATGTGCATGTGCATGTGCATGTGCATGTGCATGTGCATGTGCATGTGCATGTGCATGGGCGTGTGCATGTGCATGTGCACACACAATCGACGACCAACCTCGGCTGCATCTCGGCCAAACCTCGGCTACACCTCGGCCAGATCTCGCCCATCTCTCGCCCACATCTCGGTGGCGCCTGCGAGACGTCCCACCAGTCGACGGCGCCTACGACGAAAGGCCTCCATCACCAGACTCCGGTGAGGAGCCCTCGCCTGACCGGCCCCGCGTCGCCGATGGGCTGATCGGGCGCGGACGGGTTCCTCGCGCAGCGCGACGGCTCGAGCTTGCAGCCAAAGGTGGCCTGGTTGGGGCGGCGGGAGCAAGATCGAGTGTGTGGTGTGTGTATGCGTTGTGGCGTCTCGGAAGTGTCTCGGAAGTGTCCCAGGGTCCCGGGAGCCGTCTCGCCTCGAATTTGCTGTCGACGGGCGGCGCGCAGCCCTCCGGCGCACACGCCTCCCCCGGCCCGCCCGACTGCCCGATGGCGCACATCTGGCCAGCCTCGTTGCAGCCCCACTTTGGCCAGAAGCGAGTTGAGGCGAGGCCGGCGTCGGGGACGGTGAAGGCGTACTCTTCGCCCGCGCCGAGCTTAACGTCGGGAGTGAAGAGAGGGACGGCGACCGCGGTGCCCGCGAGCCAGATGTCGTCCTTCTGGCAGCCGTTGACGAAGCGTAGCCTCTCGCGGCCGCTCCTGAGGTCGAGCTCGCCGCCTGGCGCCGACCGGCGGACAGCGACGCTTCCGAGGAGGCCGCAAGAGATTGCCACGGCGCCGGCGAGCGCCAGCACCGAAGGGCGACGGTGCAACGGCGAGGCAGCAGCATTAGCCGGGGGCAGGCGCGTGTACGGCGTGTCTCCGGTCTGCATCGTCGGCGAGTGGAGCCTTGCTGGCTCTCGCATGTATCAGTAAGTCCGCACCCTGGTTGGTGTGTGCCGTGAGCCGTCTTTTTTACAGGTTGCAACCCAGTTTCGCACAGTGCTGTGAGTAGTGTCAGGGGCAGTAGGTGGGCGAGCTTCAGGCGCGCCCATCTCGATCGTCAAGGCGTCGCTACGCGCGGTCTTCCGCGGGGGGAGCTGCGTCGACGGGTGCGGGACCGCGGCGCAGCCAGTGCCGCGGCGAGGCCTCCGGCTGTTTGCGGCGGGCGGCTTGCTGCTCGCTGCATGGCGAAAAACTCGTCTCGCCACACGCCAAGGGCTTATGCTCTGGCGAGACGTGAGGCGCATGCGCCCAGGAGGGGAGGGGGCATGTGTAACGACACTGCTAGAGATGCCTTTCGGGGCCCAGAGATAAAACTTCTGTGATGCCATGCGTGACCTAGTAGTGTCCCCAGCTATGGGCGTGTCCACGTTGGAGCCAGGTGTGGTGTGGGCGCGAGAATAGCTCCGCCGTTCATGGAGGCAACCGATGCGAGTCGACTGGTGTGTGTCGTCGTGGTTTCGTATCAAGAATACTCACTCACACACAGTGCTGTGAATCGAGCGGCAACCAACAGCTCTCAGGACCCCCCGGTGCTGGGGTGCTGCCAGCAACCAACCAACTCACCGGCGAGCGGAGCGAGCCGAAGAGCTGGGGCCAAATTCGTGAATGAATGAACTGACTGGCAGCGAACGTCAATCAATCAATCAACGCCGCCCGCAGCATCGAGCGGCACGTCCTCCCCACAACCAGCGGCGTGTATTGCACCATAGGTCGTCGGCTTTGCCGACGGGCGACGTGCACGGGACACAGGGACGGGCGAACCACGTACCCGAACAAGCATGATCCATCCAGTTCCAGAGAACGGGGCATTGCACCTACCTACATGGTGCGGGACCTGGTGCAGCAACCAACAACCTGGATGGGGACTCGGTGCTGCGCAACCGACGCCAACCAGCAGCGTTCACAGCACAGTGCGAAACTAGGGTTGCAACCTGGTACAAAGACGGCTCGCTGTGTCGAGCCTGTCTGCTGTGTCCTGTGAGAGTAACGACCGCGCGACGGCGACGGTGGCTGCCGCTGCCGCTGCCGCTGCTTCTGCCTGCCGCTGCCGCTGCTTCTGCCGCTAGGGGGGGGTGCGCGTTCGCAGGGAAAGGGCCGTAAAGTAAACACGGGTCGACGGGTCTCCGAGGGTTGGCTCCGCGCTCCGGGTTTCCCCTAGCAGCAGACCGCCCCCTCTACTCGGAGCTATAATGAACACCAGACATGAACACGACACGCACTCTCACACGACGTCACCGCTCAGGGCCCCTTCGCGCGGGGTCCTCATCCTCACTCCGGAGGAGTCTTGGAGCACTTGGAGTGTGGTCATTAGCCTGACATCCGATATTTTTTTTTGACGGCGCCACCACTTTCGAAGTGCGTTCGAACAGCAGTCCTCGGGCGAGCCTGTCAAACCTGTCACTCACCACCTCAAAATGGAGTTCACCCTCACCAAGCACAAGCTCTGGCGCTCGTGCGCGCGTAAGCTCGTCATCCTCGGCGACGAGGTGCTCACGCTCGACGGCAACGGCCGCACCACCAACAAGCTCGACTTGCTCCGGCTCGAAATCGAGGACGGTCCTGGCGACACCTTCACAATCCAGGAGCGCGCGGAGGGCGCGTGCGGCCTGCCAAACCTGCTCGGACCGCGCATCTTCCACTTCAGCGCCGCCCGCAAGCCCGAGGTGCTCGCCGCACTCCATAAGCGCGACATCTTTGCGGCGCGGCTGTCGGTGGAGCCGCGCTCCGGCGGCTCGTCGCCCTCCGCTGTCGGCGCGCCACCCGTCGCCGCGTCGCCCGACGACGCGGCCACTCCGCGCGCCGAGGCGGCGGCGTGTCTCGCCGAGGCGGTGGAGGCCATCCTTCGGCCGGACGGGTCGTCGCCCGGGCTGCTCGGTTGCGGCCTACTCGGGGCCGAGGTGCACACACACACGAGCCGCACCTCGTGTCTAGCCCCCCCCCCCCCCCTCCCTCCTCCTCCCTGCTCGGCTGTCGTCTGCTCTCGGCTCTCTTCGACGCGTCTGCCCACCTGGGCTGCGCCCCTGCCCACACCTCCCACCACCCCCTCCAGACCCACATCCCCCCTCCCTGCCTTCCGCTCAGGGCCTCGCGAGAGCGGAGGCGCACAACGCCCTCTTCCGAAAGGGCCTCGCCGCCAACGCCTCGGGCGACTCCGCCTCGGCCGCGTCGCTGCTCTTCGAGGCGAGCGACCACACACCGCATCAGCCGTAGTAGTTGTGGTGAGCAACTCTTCGAACTTCCAAGGTGTGCTCACGACACACGCGTGCTCACTCGCCGACGACAAACATGCTCACGACAAACACGTGCTCACGACCGCTCCACGGCACGTGCTCACGACACACGCCCACGGCACGCCTGCCTCAGGCGGCCAGGCTCGACCCGCGGCCGACCACCATCCTCTCGCACGTCAACATGCCCTCCCACGCTCCTGGGGCGGGCCTCTCCGCGCGGAGGACACGTCCGTGACACGTCCACGGCACGCCGCGTAGGCGCCTTAAGCTCGGCGAGTCCGCGCTGGCGGCGGCACGCACACCTCTCTCTCCCCGACACACCACCCCGGACGACCACTTCCCCCAGGCGGGAGATGTCACGCGCACTGCCGCACTCTCCTGGCCCTACAGGCGTGCTACTCGCGCCTCCTCGCCGAGGGCAGCCTGACCGCGAAGGCGCGCGCCATCGCAGTCTCCAAGCTGGCGGAGGCGAACGCGGCCAAGGAGGCGGAGGCGGAGGCGGAGGAGGCGGAGGCGGAGCCCCGCGTGTCGAACTCTGTGGTGGAAGAGGAGGAGGAGGAGGAGGAGGAGGAGGAGGAGGTCGAGCTGCCAACCTCGCCCTTCGTCACCCTCCGCTCTCCGAGGAGGCAGAGGTCGATGGAGCGCCGCTGGTCGCTAGACGTGGCGGCGGCGACTTCCCCCTCGCCGCGCCACCGCGAGACCGCAATCTCCTCCGCCCTCGAGGCGATCTCCCCATCGATCTCCTCGCCGGCCGCCGCCACCTTTGCCGAGCCCGCCGCCGCCGAGGGCGGCTCGCATGGGGAGGAGGGCGGCGGGGCCGGCGACACGCCTCGCTACCGGCGCGCCTCCTCCTTCGGCGACCACCGCGCCGTCGAGCCGCGCATCCACAGCAGCCCTCGCGTGGGTGGTCAAGCCCTCGTTTCATCTTAGGCCGCCCGCCCTTCCACCGGAGACCCGACCCCCCCACGGAGCTCCCCCCCCCCCTGAACCTTATCGGAACCTCTCCCACCTTCTCAGGCCGCCGGCTCTCCGTCGAGAGCGTGCTCAGTGCGGCCGCGCGCGGCGGCGGAGCGGCGCCGGCGCCGGCGACCGGACTCGCAACCTTCGCGTCTCCAAGCTGGTACGGCGGAGGAGGGGCACCGACGCAGAACTCTGGCCCGCAGCAGGACAGAGCCCTCCGCCACGAATGACCACAAATGTTGCCCCCCCACCCCCCCCACCCCCACCCCCCACCTCTCCGAGCCACGGGACCACGAGTCTAAGGTGGGAAGGCAGCCTCAACATCAACAGTGAGTGGATATGTTGCGAATATGCGCCGCAGGACGACTCCATCCGGGACGACTTCTCCCGCCGCTCCGAGGAGGTGGGGGACGGCGCCGGGCTGCAGGAGCAGCACAAGCCCGGGCCCTCACTCTTCAGTGCACACCCCTCCAGCAGTGACTCACCGCTTCAGCGATTCCACTGTGTAGGAGGAGGGGTGGACCCTCGGCTCCGGCTTCTCCGGCGGGTGACTGGCCGCCGCGCCTCTCCGTCGCCCGGGCCGGACCCTTCCCGGACCCTTCTCGGACCCTACCCACAGGATGGGCCGCCGCGCCTCGCTCATCTCGCGCGTCTCCGCCGTCTCCTCCTCCGGCTACTCCTCTGGCTCCCCCTCCGAGGGCAAGATCGCCTCCTCGAAAGCCGCGGCGATGCCCGCCGCGCCGCCGCCGCCGCCGCTCGAGGTGCGTGGCGCCGTGACTCCTCTCTCGACGCGGGGAGGGGGGGGGGGGGGGGGCGTGAAGGGCGTCTCGTTCACGCGTCCAGTCGTGACAGGTGGCGTCGCGCCTCGACGGCCTCCTGGACGCCACCGGCGCCCTGCTGCTCCCGCCCGCCCCCCCTCCCTCGGACCTCATCGACCTGCGCTCGCCCACCACGCCGGCGGTCATGCGCGAGGTCGCCAAAATCCGCGAGGCGCGAGACGCAGCCGAGAGGCAGCCGAGAGGCAGCCGAGAGGCAGCCGAGACGCAGCCGAGATGCAGCCGGGGTGTAGCCCCGAGATCCGCGAGGCCGGCCAGACACGGCGTGCAGGCAAGGGAGGTGTGCCTGGCTGGTGGATTGCGGCGGTATCACGCGACGCCTCCATGCGAGCACAGGCGACGCCGGGCCTGACAGTGCGGCAGGTGCACCGCCGCCTCGTGGCGCAGGGAGGCGAGCTGCTCGACCCGGCCGTGGCCTCCGCCAGCCGCTCAAAGGCGCCACGACGAGGGAGCTGTTGCGCGCGCGGGGTGTGGCCGGCCTGTTGCGTTGAGGAGGTTTGTGGGCCGAGTCACTGTAGGTCAAGAAGGCCGCCTCCAAGGTGACCAAGTCGGCGCTCCGCCTCCGCCACGAGCTCGGGACCGAGAACGACACGGCGCTTGCCGAGGGCGTCGCCGAGTGCTGAGGGGCCGACGAGGCCTCCCGTCAGTCGACACCTCGCCGCCGCCCCTCCCAGCGAGATGGGGCTCTCGAGGGAGGGCGCCACGCTCGGCTTTGGCCACGGGGGCACTCCCTGGCCGGACCAGCATTGGCGTTGGCGTGGGTAGAACCTAGAACGCGCGGAAGTGTGCGGGGGCGTGGGGGGGGGGAGCACTGGAGCACTTGGAGTGCGGTCGGCAGCCTCACATCCAGGGCGTGGGCAGCTAGAGCACCCCAGCGATCGGGCTGCGGGCAAAAGAACCCTGACACCCTGGGGGGTGCGGTGACTCATAAGCGGGTAAGGAAAAGATTTTCTCCTTTCGGCGTCTCGTGTGTGTAAATGCTTCTGGCAACTTCTGCCGCCGTCCACCTCGAGGGCGCGGCACTTGCCGCGGCGGAGAGGGATGCTCTCGCGGCAGTGCTGGAACACGAGCGTGCCGAGCACGCCAGGTCAGATCGGCTTCTGGCAGACGCTCCACCGCTGAGTAGCCTCGTGCCGTCGATTTTTGGCGAGGCCGAGGCCGAGGCTGAGCCACCACCGGCCGACAATTCCTCTGGGAGGCCGACTCCGGAGTGGGCGAGTGGCCTCGGGCTGCCTGAGTACCTTCTCGACACGGCGCCGACAGTCGGCGATGGCGAGCTCCGCCACCTCCCGGCCTCGCCTTCGGAGCGCGCACCTTTGCTGCCCACCCTCTACCTGCCGGGCTTCCCGAAGGCGGCGACGACTTGGCTCTCAAACTGCGTGCAGTACGCCTTCAGCCCGGTCAACATCTGCGGCCGGCGGGCCGAAAAGTGGGCCGCGTGCACGCGCCGGTTCGCGCTAATGGACCCTTAGCAGTCGCACCTCGTTGAGAGCTCCCACGATAAGCAAGTCTTACGCGGCTATCACTGGCCCCGACCCGCGCCAGGTACGCTCTCGCGCCCCTCTTCACCGACGCGTTGGCCCAGCCCTCGGCGTGGAAGGAGCGCGCTGCTCCTCTCGTTTCTATTTACGGCCTCCCTCCCAACGCGGCCAAAGGATATCCACCTCGAGAACCTCGAGAGAGAGGCCTCCCTCCGGACCGGACGCCATCCCCGCACCTCCGAGAACCTTCTCTGGTAGGAGCTCTTCTTCTTCGGCGGCCGCCCTCCGGCCCACCCGTTCGCGTACCGGCCCGACCTGCTCGAGCTGCACGGGCCCGACCCGACGGGCGGCCCGCTGCGCAACCTGTCTCTCCTCTGGCCGTGGGAGAGACAGCTGCTGGGTCCGCGCCGGGGCTCGGCCTCGGGCGCGGAGCTCACGGGGGCTCGCTCTCTAGGCCCCCAGATCACCCGGCACCACCCGCGAGATCGTGCGAGATTAGGCGCGGAGCTCATGGGCCGGCTCCGCGCAATGTGCGCGCAGTCCGTGCCCCCACAGTCCTGCCTCTCGGGTGGCGGCGGTGACGCCTGCCGCGCCGCGCCGCGCTGCTCCGTCCTCGGCACCGCCGCGTGCGAGGGGGCCAACTGGAGAGGCGTTTGCCGCGGCCTGGGAGCCGCAAGGCCGCAGCCGCAGCTCGGCTGCACACACCCCGCGTGCGCGCGCGTCGCCGAGGCGAGCGCGGCCGAGAGCGGGCAGTTCTCGCTGAACTGCGTGTGGTCGCCGCGCCTCAAGGCAGTGAGCGGGCGGAGCGACGCCTACTGCGCGCACTCGCTGCTGCCGTGGGCGGCGCGGGGCGAGCTCAACGCGAGCGTGATGGACTTCACACCAAACTACATCTGCGACGCGGACGCGATGGCACGCATCCACGACAGCGCCGCGGGGAGGCCCGAGGCGGTCAAGTTCATCGTAGTGGTTCGCGACCCGGTGGCGCGCGCCTTCTCGGAGTGGTCGATGTTTGCGCTCGGCTCGCTGCGCTACCGGGAGCGGGGCCAAGACACTGCCCGGGCCTTCGCCTCTCAGCCTTCTCGGAGACCCCTCTCTGCAGGCTGGAACTGGGATCCGGTCAAGAACTTCTCGGCGGCGATGGCGTACAAGCTGCAGGCGCTGCAGAGGTGCAACCGCTCCCTCTACCTCAACGTCAGCAGGTGGCTATGCTCGGGGAGACTCGGGAGGAGCGGTCATCTCAGGGGAAAACCTCGGGTTAATCTCCCCCCCATTGATTTTGAGCAGGCTGCGCCAGCTGCCCACCACGGCGCCCGCCGCGCATTTGAGGCAGTGAGCACGAGATTGCTCGAGATGACACCCGAGATTAAGATTGATTGCTCGCGACGTGCAGGAGCTCGCCGCGTACCTGCGGAAGTGCTTCGACTACGGCCGCGCGACAATGTGCGCGCCTGTGGCCCACCACATCTCTCGTGACCAGTCCGACCGTTCGCCATTCGATCAGGGAGTCAATCATGATTCAATCAGCGTGCCTCCCTGAGATCGGCAGGTATGCCACCAGCTCGATGTACTCCGCTTGCCTGCTGCACGCGCTCCGCTACTTCAAGCGAGCGCCCCTCCTCGTGTCCTCCGCCGCCTCCTCCCTTTCCATCACGAACCTTCCGCGAACCTTCCGCGCGACCCCTCCCGGCACAGGCGGGAGCAGTTCCTTGTCCTCCGGTACGAGGACCTCATGGCGATGGACGCGACCGCGACGCTGCGGCTCCTCTCGCGCTTCACCGGCCTCGACGCCAGCACGTGCCGCTGGTTGCGAACAGTGACATTGGGACATTAATGTGTGGACTCATTTCAGGCCTCCGCCTCGACGGCAGCACGGGCCACCACCGGCTGTGACACTACGATGAGTTATTCCGTGTGAGTGTGCAGGCCTCCATCTCGACGACAGCACGGCGGCCAAGGCGCGAGGCCAGTGCCAACCCGCGAGGCTGCGCGCGGGCAAGCAAGGCAAAAGCCGAGCCGACCCTCTTCGTCGAGCTTCCCCGAGATCAGCCGCGAGATGACGCGAGCGTGACTCGAGGTGCAGGCAAGGCGGACGCCCCGCCGAACGCCTACTCGTCGTCCTCGCCGCACGCGGCGGAGATGCTCGCCGAGGCGGCGCCCGGAACCTCTAGCCGAACTAGAGTTCGGAGCTGGAGCTGAGGATTCATCAGTCATCACAGGCGGCGCCGCAGCTGGAGGCCGTCTTCGCGCCGTACAACGCGCTGCCTTCCCGAGCCGCTGCACCCGCACTTGAGACTAGGTATCCCCATGATTACTCGTCGATTTGGTCGTTAACCAGGCGCTGCTGCGCGAGCTGCTGCACCCTCGCCTCTCGTGGGCTGCGAGCGACCACCGCAAGGTTGCACAACGTACCGCCGCGCGCTTAGCTTAGCCGTGTCTCCTCGTTGAGTCATCGTCGCTCAACCGACGGGTCGACACACAAGCGCCGGTCCGGTCATCGGTGAACTCGACACCAGGTGCCGCTCAGCGCTGAGGCCAAGGCGCGGGTGGCCGCGGAGCGGTACCAGCGCCGCCTGGCGCTGCGCAGGCGGCAGGTGTGTGCGCCGAATCAGACGCGACAGACACAGCTCTCTGAGAGAATTCCCCCGAGACCCGTTGTGACACCCTCACCACAAAGCAGACCGGCCCCTCCCTGGCCCTGCCACTGCACACTGCTCGTTTTCGCATGCCCTTGGCAGGTGAGCCGAAGGGTGGCGCAGATCGAGAGGGCGGCCGAGGTGCGGTCGCGGATCGGCGGAGCCGCGGCCGCCGCTGGCCGCGGGGCGGGGAGAGGCGCAATTGCGCGGGGCGCGAGGAGGAGGGGCGGGGCCCGGCGGTTGCCGGGGCGCCGTGGGGAAGCTCATGAAGGTGCTGCCTCGAGGTGAACGAAAGAAAGAACGAGACGAACGTCAAATGAAGTAGTACGCATTCGAGCGCCGCGCAGTTTTGCGAGCGGGTGCAGTTTTTGCGGGTGCAGATTCGCGGGTGGAGAAAATTGCTCGTGCCTCGGAGGCCGCCGCATCTTTGGGAGAGCGCCCACAGAGAAATGGCTGCGCGGCGGCTAAAAGGAATCGCGGCGGCTGCTCAGCGACTGAGCACCTGACAGTGCCGACAGCTGCCCGACAGCCCGACACGCGACAGATCACCTGACAGCACATCCTCACTCAAGTTGACGGGTCGGCGGCGCCGCTGGCCGCGCGAAGCTGTCGCACGCGCAGGGCTCGGCGCGGGCGCTGTGGGCGAGCCTGCAGCAGCAGCAAGCGTGTGTGGTGCCGGGGCCCGGGCGCTCGAAGCGTTAGAATAGCGCCTTAGTCAATGCTCGCTGCTTCCGCCCCCTCCCCGCCCTCCCTGGTCAGCGCCGTTCGTGGAGGGCTAGGCGCTCCGGCCTCCGCCCGGGGCTCTCGCCTCTCGCCTCTGTCTGCCGAGAGAGAGGGGGCTACCCTCTGAGGTCAACGCCCTCTGTGCCGCGCCAAGACAGACCCTCGGCCGGGGACCCTCTGAGGCCAAAATCAGCCAAGAGAGGCCACAGAGGCGGCACAGAGTCAGAGTCAAACCCTCTGTGCCGCCAAGCCAGGCAGGGGTCCGACCCCTCCTCAGAGGGGGTCTGAGGCCTCAGAGCGTGTACGAGTACAACGCCCTCGACGTACGCCTGCAGGTCACGCGCGCAGGCCCTTCGGCACTTCACAGCCATCCAGCGGTGTGCATGGCTCCCGCCAGCGAGACGGCCTGCCGCCTCGACGTCGAGGGCCTCGTCCGGGAGCACGAGAGGGAGCGCGATGCCACGTCGACCGGCGATATGGACGCGCTGATGGCGCGGCACTTTGGGCCTCCGAGGGAGGAGGCGGAGGCGGAGCGGACGGCGAGAGGGCTCAAAGAGGTGGAGGCGCTCTCGACGGGCGCGCTTGAGCTCAACTGGCGGCACGCGAGCCTCTTGGCACCGACGCGGCAGCTCGGTCCGCCGCTTTGCCGCGGCTGCGGCTCTGCGGGAGCACTGTCGGCGTGCGGCAAGTGCGGAGTGGCCAAGTACTGCTCGAGGCATTGTCAGGTCACCGACTGGAAGGCGCGCCACAAGCGCCTTGACTGCGCCGCCCTCGCCGCCCTCGGGCCGAGCCAGCGCCTCGCCGACGTCGCGGCCGCCCAGGCAGCCGCCGAGTCGCTGATCGTCCGCCTGCGGCTGTGCGTGCTGGACCCAGCTGCTGCCCAGCCCTCGCTGTAGTCGCGCGCGTTCGGATGGGTCGCATCCTCTCCACCCCGCGCCTCTCCACCGTCCTAGGTACGCGCTTCCCTTTGCTGCACAGGGCGCGCGGGACGGGCGCGGCTTCCTGCTGCTCCAGTCGGAGACGCCGCTCGACGCGCTGGCGCTACCCGGCCCGGTCGACTGCGCCGGCCGCGCCCTCGAGACGCCGCGCGCGGTGCTGCTGCACTTTGTGAGCCTGCGCGAGTTTGACGAGGAGCTGAGCGGCGCGCTGCCCGCGCTGGCGGCCGTGCGTGCGCCGCTCGCCGCCGCGATCGAGTCTCACGACCCGGACGCAGAGGCGGTACTGCTGCTGCACGTCGGGCCTAGCGCGCAGGACTCGTTCACGGCGGTGGCGGTGGCGCCGTATGTGCCCGAGCCCGCCGTCTGCCGCGCGCTGGGAACGGAGTACGCGGGCAGGGACGCGCTGCAGATCGACCTCGACGACCTCGGAGGCGGTGGCGGGATGTGACACACCTCCGCACGATGTGAGCTTTGAGTCTCTTTGGAGAGCTCGATTTATTTCACTACCATTATGCATATATATTGAAAACGCCAGCGCTGCGGCAGCGCCCGAGAGCCGACAACGGTGGGGTCAACCCCTCAACGCTATAGATGTACCGATATCTCTAAGTTCACTGGTAACACTTCGCCACACATGATCGCTACCTGTCGGGTCGGCTGTCTGGGTCGCCATCGCCTTCCCTGCCGGGCTTGGGCAGCAGCCGGCCGAGCGCCTGATCAGAGACAGGACAGGGACGCAGTGTGGAGGCTGAGGTGAGGCAGGCGGGCGAGTGGGCTGTCCGGGGCTCGGCGAGCCTTCTCGATGCCGAACCGTCCCGCCTTGACGACGTTGGCGCCCTTGCCAACCATGCGGTAGCGGCCGGCGCGGTACGCGTAGCGGTACGACACGCGCTTCACCACAAAGGCGTCCTCCGACGTCTCCACCATGTCCCCGCACCCGAGATTCGGCGCGAGCCGGTAGGTGCCGAGGCGGCGCTCGGGAGGCGTCACGTCGGTGAGCTCGTACGGTAGGCGGTCCCGGTCGTCCACCGGCCGCTTGACATAGCCTCCCTTCTTGCGCTTGTATACAGTCGCCTCCTCCTCCTCCTCCTCGCCCTCACCCTCGCCGAGAGACGCCAAGGCCCAGCGGCCGCGTTCGCCTGCAGCGGCCGCACGACACGGCAGTCCAGCGGCCTGAAAACCGGCCGTGAAGGGAGCGAGCAGCGAGAGCGTGAAGGCCAGCCTGAAGGCCATGATGTGGGCAGCGAGCGGACCGCCGCGACTCGGCTGCGAGCACCGCACCCAAGACGATCGCCGCCGCACATGCACACATTTTTTTCACGATTCTGGGCTCGGAGACGGGACTGGCGCGCACTGGCACTAACACAGGTATACACCGTACAAGGGTGGGGGCGGGGGTGGGGAAGGCATGATCGCGGAGGGTGGAGCAGAGAGTCTCAGTTTGCAGAGCCACCGAGAGACAGAGAGACTGGCGCACGTGTACGTTATATACGCGCACAGAGAGATAGATGCGTGTGTGGAGTGTGTGTGGCTGTGTGCTGTGTGGGGAGGCGCTGTGGAGTATGGTGTGTGTCTGTGTGGAGCCCCGGCAACTGCGTCGATAGAGTACGCGAGCGCTAAGCTTAATAGATTTATCGCCGGTCTGTGGGCCGAAGCGCGGCCAACACCGCGGCAGTCGGCAGGGTTAGCCGCCGCGTCGGCCGCCCGTGCCGTACCGCCCGCGCAACCAAGCTGTATACCAAACCCGACGACAGAGACGAAGTCGGCGCGTGCGCCCGCGCCGGTCGTGCGGCGCCTGTGTTAGTGCCAGTGCGCGCCAGTCCCCGTTGTTAATTATCCACTGGCGCTGCGTTGTCGTGCGTGATTTCTCTTCTGGTGTACCTGTGTTCGTGCCACTGCGTGCCAGTCCCGTGCCCAGTGTCGTGAGAGCGAGAGAGTGCCTAAATTTTCTTTTCTGTGTACCTGTGTTAGCGCCAGTGCGCGCCAGTCCCGGCTCCCGCGTGCCTAGAGTGTCGTGCTAGGGAGCGTGGTTGTTCTTGGAGGCGCCTTGGAGCACTTGGAGTGCAGTCAGCAACCGCACATCCAGGGACGGGGAGCTAAGAAGCGCACCCCGCGGGCCAGATGATCGGTATCGGGTTGCGGGCTAGAGAGCCCTAGCCCTGGGCGGGGGGGGGGGGGGAGGGGCGGCTCAGGATCACAGACACCCCTCTCAGGATCACAGCACCGGCGGGGGCGCGCCTCAGAATCAAGCACCCACGGCAGGGTCTGTGAGGATCGGCAGACCTGGAGGGGGCACGCTGAGGATCATAGGCCTGAGAGGGATGCTTTCAAGATCACAGGGCTGCAAAGGGTGGCACTCGAGATCAGAGCGCCAAAATAGGCGCGCGGGAGATCAGCGGGCGCCGGAAGTGGGCGCAATACACATCACGAGCGCCGGAAGTGGTACAATACACATCATGAGGGTTTTGTGGTCTGTGCGCGGACGGCCCGGGGAGCCTGCGGCGCTATTACCTATTTTAACCTGCCCCGACAGAGTCTCTCGATACGGCGCGCGGCGGCGCCGCACCCAGCAAGCTGGGGCCGCTCCTTACGGACTCGTCGCTGCGCTCCACACGGAGCGCGCTGCGCGCGCGGTCTACGCCGAATACTGCGGCCGTCTTCACGACTGGTCGCGTAAAAATTCTTCTTCTGGACAGCATCGCGTCTTGCCCTTCTTCGCGCCCGAGGCTTCTCTCTGCTGGCCTCTTCTGCTGCGATGCACTCGCCCGAGGAGGCCAAAGCCTTTTTGGTCGCCGTGCAGTCGGCCGAGCTCTCCGAGGTCCGGCGCAAGCTCGCCGCCGACCCGTCGTTGCTGCATGCCCGCTCGACGAGCAAAGGCTACACGGCGATGCACTACGCAGCGATGGCGGGCGCCACGCCGCTGGTCGATCTGCTGCACGAGCAGGGGCTGTCCGTGACGGTCGAGTCGCCCGCGGGCGTCACTCCGCTCCAGGTCGCCCTCGAGTACAAGCGGCTCCCGACCGCCCGGCACATCCAGGGCCTCCGGGATGCGGCAAAGGGCCGCCAGGGAGCGCCGCCGGCCCGCGCCGCGCCGGCCGCCGAGGCGCCGCGCAGGCCGACGGCCGAGGAGGTCGCCGCCAGCTTCGCTCCTCCCGAGGCGCTCGCCGCCCGCCGCAACGCCGCCGCGCGATCTCGCCCGCCGGCCGTCGATCCGGCACCGCCTCCCGCATCTCAACCTCCACCCGCTCCTCCGCCCGCCTCGCCTCCCCGCGCCGCCTCGGCCGCCCCGTGTGCGGCGCGCGGCGCCGCTCCCGGCCCTGCCTCGGCGCCTCCTCGACCGCAGCCCCCGCCGCAGCCTCTCTCTCCTCCAAAGCAGCAAGCCGCCGAACGGTCCGCCACGCACGCAAAGGATCCGTCGCAAGAGCCGCCGCAGCCGCCGCAGCCGCCGCAGCCGGCGGCGGCCATGGCGGCACCGTCTCCCGCGCTGAACCGCGAGGCGGCCAATCGCGAGGCGGCGGCGCAGGCGCTTGCGGCGGGCGAGCGCGCGCTGCGCGGCGGCAACCTGCCCAAGGCGGTGCGGCTGCTGCAAAAGGCAAAGGGGCTGAGCGGCGACGACGAGCGCGTCGGCGCGGCGCTCGCGGAGGCGACCGCGATGCTGCGGGAGAGCGAGCGAGAGAAGGAGCGGGAGGCGGCCGACGCCGCGGGCAGCAGCGGCGGCGCGGCCGCGCCGGGAGAGGGCGGCAACGGAGGCGGCCGTGGCGGCGGTTGGAGCGGCGACGTGGACGAGGAGGGGGGAGGAGGAGGCGGCGGGCTTGCGCGAGGGGCGTGGCGGGCGCTGGTGGTGCTGCTCAGCTTTGCCGCGCGGCTTGGCGCCGCGCTCGGCCTGGTCACGCTAGCGCACCGGCGCGGCGGCGGTGAGTGTTCACGGCGTCGTCTCACACGTCTAGCTGCGAGCAGGTTGCGCTGGCGCGCTGCTGCGGCGGCGCGGTGCGGAGCGGGTGGCGGGCGGTGAGGCGAGGGGCGGCGGCGGTCGGTGGGCGGCTGAACCCGTTCGGCGAGGACTCCGCGCTGCAGACGACTCTGCACTACCTGTTCTGCTATTGGCGGGCGAGGCTGCGCTGGCCCTTGAGGCTGCTCGGCGCCCTCGCGTGCCTCGCTCTCGGCTGGTGCTACCCGTGGCGGGCGTTCGCCGTGGCGGTGGTTGGACTCACCGGAGGCGCAGCCTGCCTCGCTCCTGCCGCCGCTGGCTCCCGTTCCTCCTCCATCCTCCACCCTCAAATCCCGCATCCCAGGTGCCACCTACCTGACGCCCGCCGCCGCTTGGTCCGCGCATGTGACGCAACCGCAGGCGGCCCGAGACATCGCCGCGATCCGCACGCACACAACACACACACACACAGCACACACACACACACACACACACACACACACACACACACACACACACACACACACACACACACACACACACACACACACACACACACACACACACACACACACACACACACACACACACACACACACACACACACACACACACACGGTGTGCGAGCTGCGTCTCTTCACAGCTAGCTGGCTGGTGTGAGCAGGCGGCCGGAGTCTCCGTCGCGATCTGGCTCCTCTGCTACCTCCTCCCGCACACGAGCGCGTGGATCGCCACCCTCGGGCTCCTCGCCGCCTCCGCCTTCCTCTCGCTGTACGTCGCCGCCGCCGCCGCCGCCGCCGTGGTCGGTTTCTATTTCTTCCCGCAGGCAATGCTCTTGCTGCTCGCGTTCGCGGCGTGGGCCCTGTTCCTGCTTGCGGTGCCCAAGATCTGCGTCTTCCTCACCGAGTTCTGCACGCTCGCCTACTTCTTCCCAAAGGGAGGGCCGTTTGGCCACGTGGTGCTGCTCTGCCTGCTGATCGCCTACGACTCGCCCGTCCTCCTCCTCCCCTTCTCCGCCTTCCTCACCCTGCTTTGGCTCTACCCGCGCGTCACCCTTGCCGTCGTCGCCCTCGCCGTCTGCCTCCTCCTCCTCCCGCTGCTCCGCTCCGCAAAGGCGCGCGCTTGCTCGGGAGACACGCCCGCGACACGCCCGCGACACGCCCGCGACACGCCCGCGACACGCCCGCGACACGCCCGCGACACGCCCGCGACACGCCCGCGACACGCCTGACATGACATGACCATGTTCATGTGCCCACAGGCATGCCTCCTCCTCCTCCTCGAGAGCCTAACGCTAACCCTAACCTCAATCCGAACCCTAACCCACAGGCGCGCCTCCTCCTCCTCCTCGAGAGCCCGTACGGGGCCGGGACGGCGCCGGACCGCGTGCGCAGCGGCGAGGCGGCGGTGGAGCTGGTCCTCTCTGGCGCGGGGAGCGGCGAGAAGGGCGCGCAGACTCACTACGACGTGCTCAACTCGCACCGCGCCGCACCCCCCTCCGAGCTCAAGTCGTGCTACCGCCGGATGGCGCTGCTGCTCCACCCGGACAAGAACCCCGAGGAGCGCGCGGCCGTCGCCTTCAAGCGCGTCACCGAGGCGTGGGACGTGCTCTCCCACCCAGCCGGCCGCGCAGAGTACGACGCCACCCTCGACGGAGGAGGGAGCCTCTTCGACGACCCGGACACAGAGCCGGCCGCCGACGCGCCTTTCGTGCCGCCCGACGCCGGCGTGGCCAACCTGCCTCCCGGCGTCAAGAAGCGGCGCGCCAAGCCGCCAGGCGTGAGGAGGCGGGCCTAGCTGCTGGGCCTGGCCTCCGAATCCGCGCCACGCATCGCAGACACGCCGCTCTGTGTTAGTGGCTGGGCGGCACAGAGAGCTCGTAGGCAAGTGAAGGCGCTGTTGAGGTTAATCGAAACTCGCCTTCGCGAGTGAGTGGACGTTTTTCCTTCCCGCCATCACCGTCTCGTGACGGATGACACTGAGGTCTGAGGCTCTGAGCTGTGAGGAGCACTCGCGTCTCACGACAGAGACATGTGATCTAGACCGGAACCGACAACCGTGTCTCTCACGGGGAAAAACACTTTTGCTGTGTAGACACTGTACTTTAGCGATTAGCCCGTGCGCGTGGCGTGGGTGATGTGTAATCTATCATGATAAAAGCAGTTACTATGCATAGCAGTATGTTGCGCCAGGATCGTCGCAGGGGGTGAAGGGGTCGATGTTTGGACGGGGTGGTGAGGGCATGGAGCCATTCAGCCTTTTCGGCGCCGAAAGACTTGAATTACGTCAAGAAATAAAGGCCAGTTTGGGACCCTGATGGTTTCGACTAGGTCGAATCTGCTCTTGACAAATTCTTGGGCCTCAAGGGAAAATGACTGGCCGTGCGCTGGCCTCCCAGGCAGCCCGAAGGTGCATCCTTGCCATTCTCCAATCAGAACTAATGTCCCCCCCCTGTATCGACGAAGGCATTCGAGTCCAAAGCTACCGGTGCCATTGTAGTCGGGCCACATGAGAAGAAGTGTGCGACCATCAGCTTCCGCCCGGTCGAGCACCTCCGGGCCACCCAGTTGCACAGAGGAAGGCTCGCCAAACGTGACGCCGCCATTGGTCATTGCCCCGATTGCCTCGGTCGGTCCAAAACCATCAAGTACTATTGGCCGGTTGAAACACTTAACGTCTGCGTTGTAGGGTGCGATCCGCAACATCGCAGCCCAGTAACCAGAGCCGCCGCCAACTTCTATAAGCGGAGAATGCTGTGCCACAAAGGCTAAAGCGTCTTTGTTTGGCACGGACCACGCAAAGTGCGCCTTGATTTCCATCGATTCGTGGCCGAAAACATTCATCAGCGATAAAGACGGGGCCTGGTGCGTTTCAACGTAATGCAGCTGCTTCCCAGCGAGTGATCTAACCCTGTCAATGAAGATCTCGAGGTAGTTGAGCTCGACCGGTGCACTCAGTACATCGGTTAACACCGACTTTCCCAATGCGGGGAGAAGCGTCGGGGGAGCGCCTTCAGTAGCTGCAATTGGCAACCATGCGGCAGCGAATTCTTCGAATCGATGGGAGGCCGCCAATGGATGTCGCAGGAAGGCGACCGACCACAGGAAGAGCCAGCTGCTCAGCTGAGCCCCAAGTGCCGGCCCCAACGCCGCGGCATTCGCAAAGGCAGCCTTGTGAAAATCATCGGCGTCCTCAGTTTTGCGTGCGTCGATCTTGCGTTGCACGTCGCAGAGCAGCCTGGCGAAGGGAGTGACTGCGGAGCCGGTATCCTCAGCGTTGTCATGCGGGGCCGCGGCCAGCACCGCCATCGCGCGCTTCACCCTGGTCTCCATGCTTGACGGGACTCGCGAAGATAAACCCGAAAATCTTTAAATTTAAGCACTAGATCCAGTTTACTTTACGGCCCTTTCCCTGCGAACGCGCACCCCCGGGGCTAGGGCTCTCTAGCCCGTAACCCGACACCGATCATCCGGCCCGCTGGGTGCGCTTCTTAGCTCCCTGGCCCTGGATGTGAGGTTGATAACTGCACTCCAAGTGCTCCAAGATCCAAACTGAAAAAGTTTTGGCCAAAAGGCCACACATGGTTGAACATGGCCCCTCAGGGGATGAGCTGGGTCGGCCTCCTCCGCCGGTCTGCAACTCGCACGGCGGGGCCGCGTCCGAGCAAGCAAGAAGCATCCGCGGCCCCCGGCGCGGGGTTGTCCCTTCGCAGAGCGCTCTGGCAGAGGGCGCGACCAGCAAGCAGCTCCCTCCGCCCTCTCTCGTCCTTCATCCTTCTCCCGCCACGCGATGACAGCATTTTGGAGTGAGAGTTCGGCCCCGCCACGCGCACCATCTCCTGGATGTGTTTGAACGTTTTGGTATGCACAGATGAGATCTCATCGTCTCACTGTGGATGAGCACACAACGTTTGTTATCCATTAGTTAGATCCCGCAGACCTCCCCGCCGGCCTCGCGCGTGTCCCAGCGCAACGAGAGGCTCCGTAAAGAGGCGTGGGCGGGTGTCCTTCCCGCCGTGCAACCTGTATCGTGCCTCCCTCTCCACCTGCGCATGCCCCGGCGCCGGCGCCTCCACAAGCCCACCGGGGGTGCCACAGGAGCCGTGCCCGCTCCCGCCGCCCGGCCCCTCCCCCGCCCCCCTCGCCACGCCCCGCCAGCTGCAAGCCGCCGCGAGAGCCCAGAAGCGTGACCGAGGGCAAAGGCGCGCCGCGCTCATCATCCGCTGAAGACGTCCGCAAAGTCAAGCTCCTCGCCCACGTTCTGCCCGTCCCTCCCCCCGCCGGCGCCACCTACCGACCACCCGCCGCTCGGTGATGGACGCGGCGCCGCGAACTCTCTGCCGCCTCGGCGGTGTCTCAGCTCAATCGGCTCTTCTCTCTCAGCTACAACTAGGGCTGTCTCTCGGCGCCTCCGCCCCCGCGCTCTGCGGCCCGCGCGGCAGCCTTGTTGGCGTGCGGCCTCCTCACCGAGCGGCGGCGGCCTGTTCACAGCTCACCCTCTCTCACGCGCCAACTCTCGTCTCCTCCTCCACGCCGGCCGGCGACAACCTCCCCCTCCGCCGCCCCCGCCGCCTCCTCCGCCGCCGTTGCCGCCGCCGCCCCTCTCTCCGCCCGCCGCGGTGCTGCCGGTGCCTCCTGCGGTTCCGCCGGTGTTGACCGGGAACCAAGTGGGCGGCGCCGGCTGGCCTGCTCCGGGGCCAGACGCGAAGCCGTACTGCGCGCAGCCGTGGGGGCCTGTCGAGGAGTCCATTGCCACCAGTCAATACGAGGGAGTGAGCAGGCCGAGCTGCGCGCACGGGGTGTGCGTGCCGGCTGCGTGGTGCGCGTAGATCGGCGCCCCAGTCGCTCCGGGCGGCACCCCAGCGTACATGCCTCCGCCGTGGAAGGACTGTCCGTTGGCCGAGCCGCCGGGCGACCTGGACGAGAGGTTGGCACAGTTAGGAGAAGGGGGGGGGGGGGGGGGGAGGGAGGGAGGGAGAGGGAAAGCAAGAGGGGGCCTCGACGGTGATCCGGGCGGCGCCGCGCCGCCCGCCGCGGCGAAGGCGCCATGGTACTCTTGCCAGCAGCGGTGGCAGTAGAGGCGCGAGTCACGCTCATCCACCACCCCAGGACCCCACTGCCCGCACTGCCCGCAGCTGCCATTGCCCAGCCGGCCCATCGGAGCGGCCGGCCCGCCGTAGCCGCCCGCCGAGCCCCCCCCCGCCCCCGGGGGAAGCAGCGACGAGGGCGAGGCGCGGTCGGGCGGCGAGCACGAGAGGTGGATCCCGTCCGGAGAGTAGTTTCCCGCGAAGCCGCCCATCCCGTTGGTCGGCGGCCCCATCTGAGGAGGCCCCATCTGCGGCTGCCCCATCGGCACGCCGTAAAAGTGCTGCGGACCTCCGGGCGGGCCCATCACAGGCAGCATCACCGGCACGCCGTGCTGCCCGATCCTGCGGCAAGGGGGCGGCGCACAGGGTCGGGGCGGGCCCGGCCGTCGCGCGCAGCTGTCCGAGCCGAGCATCGAGGAAGCAGACGGCGGGTGCGGATGCAGGGGCGTCTGCGCTGCATCTAGCTCGCCCGCGCCCGTGGCCGATCTGCATCGGGGGCTGGCCCGGCGCGGCGAGCCAGGAGGTCGGCGAGTTGGAGAGCGCCGCGTGCAGCGTGTGCGACGCGAGCGGAGAGAGGGACATCGGCGGCGACGGAAAGTAGACGGGCGGAGACGTCGAGAGCGGCGGCGACGAGCGGAGCCCGCCGGGCGAGTACGGCGAGACGGCGGGCGACGATGCGACCGCGACGGGCAGCATGGTCCGCCCGTCCCGAGGCAGCGACGTGCGCTTCGGAGACTGCGACTGCGACTGCGGCTGCGGCTGCGGCTGCGGCTGCGGCTGCGGCTGCGGAGGCGGCGGCGGCGGCGGCGGCTGCGGCTTTGCTCCACCCGCCGCCGCCGCCATCGCCGGCGGCATTGGGGCGGCGGCGGCGCCGATTGCGACGGGCACAGTTTGACGCTGGGCGTGGCGAAGGGGCTGCGGGTCGACCGGCACGCGCGACGCCTCCCCCTCCGCCCCGCCCAAAGCTCGCGCAGCGGCGGCGGGAGGCGGCGGCGCGGCGGGCGCGGCGGGCGCGGCGGGCGCGGCGGGGGCGGCGGGGGCGACGGCGAAGCGGCCGGTGTACTTTGAGCCCGTGATGAAGGGGTGCTGGATGGCCTGCCTTGGCGTCCAGCGCTGCGCGGGGTCGTACTGGAGCAAGCCCGAGATGAAAGAGAGCATTGCCCTCCTCCGCTCCGCCTGTCAGGCTCATCGGCAGCTGTGACGGACAAGCCTCCGCCGCCTCTTCCCGACTCCTCCGGCCGTGGCGGTGGCTAGACCTCGGCTGCACCTCGGCTAGACCTCGGCTGCACCTCGGCTGCACCTCGGCTGCACCTCGGCTGCACCTCGGCTACATCTCGGCTGCATCTCGGCTAGACCTCGCCTCAGCCTCGGCCTCCTCGGCCGTCGCGTGCGCCTTCCGCGGCGGGTGGCGCGAGAGCAGGTCTGGGAGCAGCTTGTACCTAAGCCAAAACTCTCACCCTTTTGCAAGAGCAGGCAACGCTGCGGGACGAGGCCGGGGCGGCAGCGAGCACCGGAAGTACTGCTTGTTTCTGCAGAGCTTGACTCCCTTCTCGTTCTTGGCCGCGGCCTCCCGGTTCTTGGCCACAACGTACTCCGCCTCCGGCAACAGCAACCACTCCTCCCCGCCCTCGCACCCGCCCTCGCCGCTCCCTCTGGCGCCGTCGGTGGAACCAATGCCTGCCGAAGCGGCGGACAGGGCGGCGGCGGCGGCGGCGGCGGCGGTGGCGGCGGCGGCGGCGGTGGCGACGGCAGGGGGTGGGGCAACAACGGAAGCAGGGCCGGCGGCGGCGGCGGCGGAAGCAGCGGCAGGGGCTGTGGCGGCGGCGGCGGCGGCGGCGGGCGTGCGGCGGACAAAGTACTCGTGTCTCTTTTCGCAGCGGGCGAGGAAGGACGGGTGCGGCACGCCTGCTCTCGCCACACGCTCGGGTGGGGCCGAGATCTGCCCTCGCTGTGGGCGGGTGGTGCGCGCCGTCGCGTCTCTGCGGGGCATCCTCTCCTCTCGGCTACACCTCTCGGCTACACCTCGGCTGCACCTCGGCTACACCTCGGATCCTCTCGACTTCCTCTCGGCCCCTCTCCGCGTCTCGTCTCGGCGTCTCGTCGCGGCTACTCGCGGCGTCTCGCGCGCCCAGCATCTCGACGATGCGGCAGAGCTGGTTGTACTCGGACTCGCCCGGGAAGAGGGGCAGGCCGAGGAAGAACTCGCCCACGATGCAGCCGAGCGACCAGGTGTCGATCTCGCAGCCGTACGGGTGGCTGAGCAGGACCTACCCTCGGCAGACCTCGGCTGACCTCGGCAGATCTCGGCACATCTCGCGCAGCAGTTGAGAGTAGCGTCATGGTTGAGAGAGGCGTCATGGTTGAGAGAGGCGCGAAGAGAGCCGTCGGGCGATGCGCTGTGACTAGAGCAGCACCTCGGGCGAGCGGTAGAAGCGCGACTGGATGTAGGAGGAGGTGGGCTGCTGCTGCTCGTAGCAGGCGGAGCCGAAGTCGATGATCTTGATGGCGGGCGACTGCAGGTTCCGCAGCAGGATGTTCTCCTATAAACACCAACGGCTCCAGAGTGGATTGACGGATGGCAGGTGACCGCAGGCGGCGCAGCAAGAGAGTGTCCGGCTTGAGGTCGCAGTGGATCACGCCGAGCTGTCGCAGCAGAATCAGCGCCTGCAGCAGCTGCTTCGAGAAGAAGCGCACGAGCGAGAGAGAGAGGCCGCGGCAGCCGTTCTGCTGCAGCAGCTGCAGCAGGTTGACGCCGAGTGCTTCGAAGACGAGGCAGACGTGCTCGCGGTGTGAAAAGTGCTCGTGCAGCTGCACCTGATCACAGGCGCGGGGTGTGAAGAGACGCCGTTCACGGGGTGCGAGCCGTGCGCCTCCAGCCGCACCATCAGCGAGCGCGGGTCGGTGCCCTTCGCTTGCCTGCCCGCTGCGTCGTCCGGCGCGCCGGCGAGCGGGGCTTTGGCTCCCCCCTCCGTCTCGCGTGGGGTGGGCGGGCCACTGGCGGAGTCGGGGAGGCAGAGGGACTGGAGGATGCCGACCTGAGGACAGGCGTCCCCCGTGCGCCACCGTCACAACTCCTTGTGTGCACCCGCCGGTGAGAGCCGTCGAGGCGGGAGCCGGGGGCCCCGGGGGGCGAAGACGACCCCGGTCTCGGATTTTTTTTTCGAGGCCTCGCCGCTGCGCATCACCTAAAAGAGGACGAGC